TGGCAATCTAAATGTGACCTTGAAATTGACCTTTGACCTACTTTTCACCATGAACTGAACTTTGCAAATGTTTTTCCATTTTATCTCTAAAACTGGCAGACAAAAAAGACAACTTTCAAATTGTTAGCGAAAGTTCATTCCCAATGTGAAAGAGATGAGGACGCGATTTTCATATTTGAGTCTTCGTTGGCCAAAGAGCAAGGAAGAACGTAATTTTCGTATCCTCAGTGGGGGATCGTTGCAATCGTATATTCATTCAATGGCTTTTGTTTGCGAAAGATCGTCAACTAGTGAAACAACCCCTCCCCCTTCTTTTTCCTTCCCATACGAATGCTCTTACTCCAGCTGGTGGTACAATACCAGGAGGCGGTATCGCCTCTCTGATCCTCTAGTTATTATTATTATTATTATTATTATTATTATTATTATTATACCCTTTGCGCAAAGTTCTTAAAGTTCTTCAAAGTTTTTAAATATATCTAATTAGAATTCTTGGCTTGCATGTACTATCCCCTAGAGTCCAGGTGACCCTGACCCGATGTCCCAGTTCCTCCAGATTCCAGGCTATACCCAGACACAGGAGCTGACCACCAGGGCAAGGGTTCATATATATAAGACAATGGGAGGCATCCAGGTGTACTTCCAATGACATCTAAAGAACAAAAAAAAAAAGAGATACAGCACACCTAAAATCGAGGCCGGGTGATTTGTATACGTCGCACGTCCACACGTCACGTTAATAAATGTACATGTATATACATTTACTTTAATATTGTTTACAGCATCTAATAAGCATGTAACAAAAGTGACTCATTAAAAAGGTGTAGCCAGCCAGGTACAGTGTACCATATTTCACACGCGGGCATCTTGAGATACCTGTGCTAGACCCGAAAAATGGGGCTAGGTTTTACATGTTGAGTAACGGCCCGGAAAATTGCTTTTGTTTGCAAATGTCAAGAAGAGGCGATTTTGTTTAGCCAAGTGAACATTTAAACAAGAGACAGTATTTCAAGAGATACGGCTTGACAAACATACCCATATCCAATAGTTCCTGAGAATTTTAGATACGGAATACTCTGCGGAATTTTCCTGCGGTAAAAAAAGAAGAAATAAGGCACAAAAACGCTGCAATTTTAAGTTATTTTCGAAATTTGCCTCAAAGAGGTTAAAACCATGCCAATAAGAACGCACTCTCCTTGCCTTAAAGGTCTGACCGTTACCCTGGTCTTGCTGGAGGTGGGAATATACACGGTCAGCATTATTGGGTGGCCTTCCCTGGTGTACATTTTCAGGGACGCAGGGTTCTACTCCGACCTTTGCGGCTCTAACGAGACAGAGAGCATCAATGGGTCAGCCCTGACGGACGACAGACGCCGGTACGAAGACGGTCCAGTAGGGTGTCCGGCACAAGAGGAGATTTTAAACTTGGTGTTCACGGTGGCCATAACTTCCCAGATCCTGACCCCCGCACTTGGCTACATTTACGATCACTGCCACTTTGTATCTTCCCGTGCCGTTGGCATGTAAGTCATGGCTTTACTTAACGCAAATCGACGGGCGAAATAAGGTACTACTGTGTGCTATAACACTGTTATTTTTTTAAGTTGAGACAAGATGTGGAGCATGCCAACTGCGTTCGTTAGTGTTAGTCTATTCAACTTGGTAAAAAAAAGCTTTTATGATTTCTGTGTTGCGACTGATTATTAAATTAAAATAAAATTAATTCCGGTTTGTGTTTGGGATATTTATATTAAAAATACGATAAAAAGTACAATCTTTAAAAACCTCCCAATTCCAAATTCTGCATTAATGTTCTTATCTGGTGAGGAAAATCATATCTTGTTGTTAAGTACTACCGTTTAAACCACATGTATATGCATGCAATAGCGCGTTGTAGTCTGGTTCAAGTTGGCCCTGAGAGTAAATAGGCATTATCCCATGTTGAAATGATATACGCTTAATTATTTGTGAAATATCAGTCAAACACATCATTACATAAGATATGTATTATTTTTTCTAGAGTCTTCAGTGTAAGCGGATGTCTCCTTATGGCCTTCTCAGCGCCAGGTAACATTTTTTTTATATCTGCCAGTAATATAAACGATATCTGCCAGTAATAACACTACATTGTATATTCTTTACAGCAAATGTGCGTTTTTCCCTAGACAATGGGACTGTTTTTCTTTTGTCCAGAAAAGTACTTAGTTTGACGTTGAACGTTTATCATCACAGATCGTTATGCGTTGCACGTTGGTATATTGCATAATCTTAATCAGTGCATGCTGCAGAAGGTTGATAGTCATCATTTAGCAGGACAAACGTCAGAAAAGTCAGGCTTAACTAGCTTTCATGTTAAGTAATACCCCTGTCACACAATAGCGTGAAGCACTGACGTATGGGGAAATTAATACATACGAAGACAATTGCAAGGGCTTCATTAGACTAAACTGCGTATACGCTTCGAGCACGCAAGTTAACGTTGGTGTACGTTTGCATACGCTGGAGGAGCACGTTCAAAAATGTTCAGCGTTTTGAGTGGCACCTTACCTATACGTTAGGTATACACTAGGAATGCACTAAACTGACGCTAAGGAAACGTTATATAGTTACGTTCACGCGGTGATCGATGTTGGCAACGTATCCGTAGCGTATATGCAACGTAATATTGACGAACTTGCATCATATGGACGTGCCTATTTTGGCAACGTAAATATTTTGGCGGGACACATGTACTCAACGCCGTAAGAAAAAGTGCAACGTGTCAACTGTAGATGGAAACACATAGCTGTAAATATATAAATTTTCACGCGAACTGAACAAATGGCCCAACTATTTTTAAATGTGGATTCTTGTGCTTGGCATACATAACAACACCATATTGGACTTTGCTATTCAACAACGCAATACAGCCGTTTCTGACGCACAACAAGGAGAATGGACTACTAGTACATATATACACATGCATACTTGACATTAACATGGAATATTTTTTCCAAATTCTTTTTCTTTGATTTTTCCTACTTTTCCGACTTATAAATGAAAACAAGGGTTAACATAATGTTTAATAACTTAAATAATCTATTCAGTGTAATTGTGACATCAGCTCCATAATTGAATGCGCCTAATTAAGCAAACCAAATAAATGGCTGATTTTAAGTCATACGACAACCATAAAACGCGTTATTTCAATCTCTGTATTTTCAAAACTATCGCATGTGCAACGTCAGTTATACACTTCAAAAAGGACGCCGCTCGTATCGGTGTCTAGCCACAGCAACGGTGTAGTCAGAGGTGCGTCTGGCCTCATCTGGTTGCTCTGCAAATACAGGTGCTCTGCGTGGACAGATATTTTCATCTCGTAATTTAAAATTATCGTGCGGTGCCTCTAGCAAATGGGAAGCAGATGGTGTATTTGTTCTGGTTCAGGTTTATATCGATGAAATTTGTCACCAACGTGAATACTGCCTCAAATACAGATGCGCCTTAGCTGCAATAATCTGACCTCATTAGTGAAAACCATAATATGTTTCCGGTGTTGTGCCTAAGAAAGTTAATAGTTCCCAGCTCTTTGCAGAAATAGCCAACGATGTTGCATTGTTCACAGGGGGTCCTTCAGAGGTCGCCTGCTATGGTCTGCTTAAACCAGTCTGATAATTACGATGGGCATTGAAAAACGCTTTTGGTGACAATTTGCCCCTCATTTTGAAGGGAACTGGTTGTTTTTGTTTATTTGTAGCAGCAAAACCCGTAAGAACAATGAATCTTGTTTCTGGGTCGTAAGTTCAGGATGCCTTCTGTGTAGGTAGACCAGCCATGGCATACCTCTATAAGACTGTGCGGAGCGTTCCTTGCGACAAAATAATCTGTCTGACAATGTATGTTTTGCTCCATTCTGGTCCATATCAACAATGCTGTAACGCACTGCTTCATTCAGTTTATGCATCGTAACGTCCGCTACTTGTACGCAAATTTTCAAAAGCATCTGTGCAGCCTTTGCCGAAATATTGAGACTTTTTTGACTGAACCATGCTCTTCCATAGTCATACGAAGACCAGCCCAAAGAGTACTACCCAAAGAAATCACCACACATAATGTAATGCAGCAGTGTATCAGACAAGGCAGTAAGTTAATTGTTACTGAAACACCTGACTATACATTTATCTATTCTCATAATTCACATGAGATACACATTTAAGAAATAAATAACAAAATTTTACCTACCCATACCTTTGAAACTAAAATGAGCGAAATGTCAAGTCTGTATATCTAGGATCGCAGAGACGACATTTTTCATGCCAGGCGCATCACCTTACAGCTTACAAAACTCCTACTTCAGCATCGTATCCTTCATGGGGTCTAGGAATTAATCTTATTCTGAAGCTGTTAGCAAGGCATAATGACAAGACCTGTTTCTAATAACGATCAATCAGTGTCAACAAAGATAGCAAAAATACAAGTTGCATTTCACACACACACACACACACACACACACACAGGCCTCATCTTTTTTTCAACCGTTTCCATAGAGAGTTGTAATTGTTTTGACTGTACTTCTTGTAAAGAAACGTGCAAAAGAAAAAAAAATCATCTTTCTGATGCATTAATTATTGCGTTCGAACGCATTCAGTTTTGCGTTCGAACGCAATCTTGACATACAATGGCAATGGTTAAAAACTGAAAACAGTCTGGTAATCACTGTATACTGGCATTGGAATTTTTCAGTATTCATATTCTTAATGTAAGTGTATCAGGTGTGTTTCAGGAATGGAATGGCTACTATTTCCTGGGGCTTCTCTCCATTTGGTTGGCGGTTTTATGTTTAGAACCACTGGTATGCAGCTGAGGTGGCTATTCCCCACAAGAAAATCTACCATAGGAACGCTTATCTCTGGCACAACTGACATGAGTTCTTTCAGTTTTGTTTTAGTCAAGGTATTAGTTAATTGTATGACGGCATGCACATCCACTGAAGAGTTTTTGTGTTTGTATGAACTCTCAAAATTGTTGTTTTATAATAGAAATTAACTGTACAACTGGATTTTCGTTTAGGCACTGAAAACATGTAGGGGTGTTCGGCAACCTTACCCATAAAATTAGAATGAGTTTGTGACAGATGCGTCCAAGTTATATTCGGATCGATCTTATTGTTTCAATTCTTTTTGTTGATTTCTTCAAATGCGGTGTCTAATAACAGTATATTTTCTTTAGTTGGCTTATGATGCTGGGGTACCTTACCGCCTGTCTCTAATTGCCATGGGATGTGGAACGTTTGTGATCGCAACCGCCACAACGATTGTTCTGTCACCCCGTGAGCAAGTGTCTGAGAGTGACGATTGTAGATGTGGGCGCTCCTTGCGTACCAAGAATTCACCCCATGACGCGAGCTCTATGAAGGTATGTCGTTTTTGACACAGTGCCACATGACACTGCACATTGTTTTACCTTGTTCCGAATGAGTTTTTGTTTTTACTGTTTGTAGGATTGTTAATGGACAAGTTACCTGAAACGTTATTCACATATTTTGATGGTATAATAAGGAAATGAATGTTTTAAATTTTAATTAAACCAGGGTCTCCCGATATCTGTCCAGTATTTGCCTTCTCCTTGTCGGAGGTCTACAATCAGTGACGTGCTCTCTACTATTGCTGTTGGTATCATATAACATGTCAAAACCTGAAGTTCATGAAAATATTTAGTAAAATTTTTATAAAGTAATGGTTATATACAGATACCTTTATGTGACAAGATTTCAGAGCTGATAAGTTAAAGGGACACCCCATGGGATTTTCCAGCCAAAATGAATTTCCTGGAGGAAAGAGTGATTTTCTCCTACTCACAAATAATTGCTTGAGCTTTCCTTGCACTTTGGTTCCATGTTTAATTCCATTTTTAATTTAATACTTTCATTTAAGCGAAGGACTGGTAATTATAAACGACATATGGGGGATTTACAAACGCATTCCTAAATTCGATTTCCAACAATTCATTTTGGTGGGGAATTTCTATGAAGTGGCCCGTTAAGTAAAATTGTTTTCAGTCATTAATTAAGCCTTGACTGTCTCCCTCNTTTTTTTTTTTCAAATATACATTGTTTTGTACAAAAAGACAAGGAGTGACCCTTAATTTGTTACATGTTAGTTGCCAGCAAGGTTATATAATGTGTAATAATTTTGTTTAGGGTTTTAGCACAGAATAAATACTTGAATCTTGAATCTTGTATGTCTTTTTTATAGTAATCTTATTGAATAATTAAAAATAATTAAAAAAAAGAAAAAAAAACATTCTGGGCCATATGTGGTCCATGTCTGGCCCTAATCTGGCCCATTTGAATATGATCTGGCCCACATCTGGCCCACATCTGGCATGCCATACATTTGCCAGATATTGCCAGATCTGGGCCGACATCTGGCCATATGAGCAAATGTGGACTGGGCCAGATGTGGCAATGTCTGGGCCAGATCTGGCCCAAACATTGCCACATCTGGCCCACATGTGGCAAGCCATACGTGGGCCATACCTTTTGCCAGACATTGCCAGACGTTGCCAGATCTGGGCCAGACGTGGGCCAGATCACTGAGGCTGTCTGGGTATTCTTTTACGTTCACTTTGCAAGCTGACAATATAGTTCAATTATTATTGAAATATTCAAAGTGTGCACATGTACCAAGAGGAACAAAAACCCAGCTGCACCAAGAATTAACCCTACTTAAAGCCCTATTTCGGGAACTAAAAGACCATGTAATCTACGTTATTTGGGTAAATTTGGGTAAGTGAAAACGTTTCTTCAAAAAATGTCCTCGCTACGACAGCACCAGAATGTTTACCTTTCTAGAAATTTCAAGCTATAACCTAAGTGAGTTTAACAAATCCCCCTTCATTTTAAGATGCCCCGAGAAACGCTAGTCTTAGCACCTGTGAGCCCATTCAGCTCCACGGAGGTGGGGAGACCATCAGCAGATTAGTTGGCTCTTCTTTCATGAAGGGTCCGCCATATTTGATCTGTGGATCTGAATGGCCTCTTTGACCTATTTGACCTTGAAATGTGGAATTGAGAAACCTCGCTGCATTCAACATAAAATCCGTAATCGGTCAATTGTACTTTCATAGAAGGTTTTTAGTTTTTTATGTCTCCTCCATCCCAGTGTACCACAAACTTTCATAATCCCATTCATAACAAGAGAGAAGGCAACAAAGACTATATCAATTGTTCGTGATTTGGCCCAACAAGGCCGCTTTTATTATATAAACTCACTATCCTAATAACTTTAACAATAATAGCAATGTGGCAAATTGTTGCCTGCATTAAGTGTTATGGCCTTAGGGATAAAAATTTTAAATGAAATATTCAATAAGACTCATCATCCTAAAAATTATGATGCCCCCCTCAATTGGGACCACCCCTCTAGGGTAGAATTGAACATGTGCAGAATGCGCATGTGCGTAAATTAGCTCTGGAGATTGTTGTCGCCATAAAATCTCGTTTGACTACGCCAAACTTTTCTATTTTCTTTTCCCTTAATGTTGTCTGCATGGAGGCTATCTTCTATGTTTGAAATACACTATATTAATTGGTCTCTCTTGTATAAGCTGCAGTTAGTTTATAGCTTATCTACAAGAGCTGATGTAAACCCTGTTTGTTTTGTAATGAGAAGTAGGCCTACATGGCCGACCCATTTGTGAGGACACTGCAAACACGCTGATAGAATTTGTGTCACAACGTTATATGATATATAATTTCGGGGACATGCATTGAGTCGATCCCCATTAACGCATGGGAGAATTAACTTAGGACTTTCTCACTACCCCGATCGTTTCCTATGTGAGAATTGCACACCCAGTATTTTTCACACCACCTACATGTACTTACAGTCTGTAGGGCGACTTTTCAAATGTATGATGGAGAGATCGAGACGCTTCCCAATATCATGTAGACCCCTAGACTGGTTCGGGTGAATCAATAACCCCACATCAAACAGGATTCCACTTAACAATTCTTTATATAAGTCGACAACAATGACTACTGTATATACGTCACGTGTTGTTTAACTTATCGGCTCCTTTAGCAAGCTGCCTATTTACGACAATGGGGTCATATGTTATTGTGCATTCATTTCTAATGCATTTAGACCTGATTGTATAGGTCTTCATTGAACAGGTGACTGCATGGGGTCACGCTTTAGAGTCTGATAAACTCCGCTGTTTACATTTGCACTGCTGATGACCTAGTTTGAAAACTCAAAAGAAAGTGACCTGGTAAAACCCAAGCGTATCGCATTGAAGAGAAATAAAAATAACAGGTGCATTCAAATGATGAAGACACGGCGCGGCTTATGCTCGCTTTCGAAAAGAGCTCTTGTCACAAAGTTCCAAATGCGTATCTCTGCAAAAGAAATGTAACTACAAAGCAGCATTTGACGATAACGAAGCCCTTCAAAATTCCTGATGATGAATGTTCGTGGTTATGATCACCGACTTCGACCTCAGCACCTGCGTGTGTACGATGAGCCGCCGCTGTTACCTTCTTCGCAATCCTCGGACCAGTCGAGTACGACTGACGGCTTGTACGCGTCCATCCGACCATCCAACATCACAACTGTAGACTTTGAGTCATTTTCCGATCCCAGTGAAGATGGCAGTGGTCACGACGACAAAATTAAGCTTGGGCGACGATGGCGTTGCTACCTAATGGTGATCTTCGCCATGTGTTGTTTACAGATGATAGCCATAGTGGTTCTGGGTGCTTCTATTCATTTTCAACGACATGATGACGGCAAACCATCCAGGGACACGGCGGCTCTTTTGAGCCAACCAATAGCCATGTCCCAAAGCGATGTTTCAGAGGATGGGCATGTTGGACCGGCTTCTCTGTGTGTTCCAGGCCTGGATATCAACCTCAGTGAAAACTGCACCATACTTAAAATATTGCATCGGGTAATTGTGACAGTTTATATTTCTTTGGTAGACTCTAGTTTGTTTAATTGGTAAATAATCAACCAAAACCACATTTTAGATGCATGGAACATAAAGAGCTTGAACACTACCGGTACATGCTGCAATTATAAGACGTATACATTTATTTAGCGACTTAGTCGAGTCGCCACCCCCATAGGCCCAATAGTCGAACCCTGCAATGTTCTTTCCTGTAAACTTTTTTTGCTGAAATGCATTCTTCAGGCCGAGAGAAGCAAAATTAGCTTGGTTGCTATTTCCGAGACCTTGAGCATTTTTCAATATGGCCGTCAATTTATGAGGAAAAATAGAAAAATGACCAGAAGTCGCCGGGTAAACTTTATTGACAGCTTTTTTGAACGTGTATCCTATCAGGAGAGCACAACAGTACTAGTGAATAAGCTTAATCGCGTACCACTTAACAAAAAACCAAAATGGCCGTCAAAACATAAGGCAGAAAATGATAAAAGCTGCAGAATCAGTTTGTTTTTTGCATATTTAGTTTTATTAAAACCATAGCCCCTTATTATATTTATGTTAGTTATAATATTTTGTTAGTCATGACCCTAAACTCTTGGAATAAGATTATCTGACCGTTCAATAACCCTCCAAGAGTCTGTTTGCTACTTCCCCGGGTCCCATAGTCAAATACTAAGAATGTTATTCCCTGGGATTTTTAAAAGAATTTAATACTTTGGGGGTATAAAAGCCCATTTAATTTGGGCTTTCTTGGCAGTGGCTACATACGTCACATTGATCAATTTTCAAAATTCAAGATGGCCGTCAATAATATGAAAAATATAATATCATTATATTATAAATGAATAATTATGTAACATAGCAAAGAGTCGGGTTTAAAGTGCATGGTATTCCGCATTTCAAATGACCACTAAAACATGCCCAAAAAGGTTAAAAAATCAGTTAAATTACGTTTTAAACTGATAATTCGGCGTGTAATATATATATAACCCTTTTATTTATTGACAAAGTGTACTTGAAAGGTACAGTTATACTAAGAATCTATAAAAGAGGATCATTGATAGAGCTGACCATTACGTAAGTTCTCTTTTTGATACAGGCTCAATCTGATGATAAATTTATCAAGGGCCAACAGGGGGTTCTACAGGAATTTGGGCACAGGGAGTCCAAATAGGGACTCATATTCACATGGAGTCCAACCAAGTCCGTTGGTGGGGACGGGGGGTGGGGAGGGGAATGTAATTTAATTTAACTTTTGTCAAAATATTAACCTTATATTTTTTTCGTTTTTGTTTTTAATTTGATCATACCTTAATATTTTGATTTTATGTCTTTATCGTAACTTTTTCAGTATGTACATAAAATGTAGCTTTAAAACTTCCCATTCTTTTTATTGAGATTGGCACATGTAAGAATATTTCATCATTATATAACAGCATTTCTAATTTTTCTTATTACTGCACTTTTTTCACTTTACATTTTAAGGAGTCAATAAACAAAACATCTTACAAATCTTTTGGTTATATACTGACAGCCATTAAAATCTTGGAGGCCATATTTTTCAAAATAATTGTTATTTTGAACCTCTAAACTGGATTATTTTCATTAAAATCATTTGTTTAGGACATTGGTATACAGAACCAAAAATCTTAAGTTTCGTGAATAGTTTCTAAACAAAAATGGTACCAGCCCAACACAAAGTCACAACTGTCAATAGCGGGTACGATCCCCGCTTGCTTCGATACAGGCGGCGATCTGTTGGCGCATGCTCGGGCAATCTGGATGGGATGGTGTCGTCCGGAATCCAGCCCGGGGTAGGACATCCACCCTTTGGACTCCAGATACACTTGGATCATTTGTGTCGAATGTGAACGGGTCTTGTCCTGTTGGGGAACGGTGATATCAGTTTTCTGCTGCATGAATGAGGTCATGTGAGGTTGCAGATTCTGATCTATGTAGTGACGAGCAGTTGCTGGTATGTTGCCATCAACGACCACCATCGGTTGACCGCCAGCAAGCGTCGACGCATAGTGGGGCTGCTGCTCCGGTTGTTGTTCCTGCCGGGTGCTTCTTGTGCTGTACGACTGGCATGGCGAAATTGGTCCCGCAGCTGATGCAACCTGATGTAGCGATCCTGGTCTCGAGTTGACACTATCTCGCCCAGGCTGCGGTATATCGCTAACAGAGCCTGGCATGTTGTGGCATTCAACCAGGTTCCTGATTGTGGGGTGGGAACAGCCCATACATTATATCTCAAATCAGACTCCCCTCACACCCAGTGCCCAGAGATGTACGTTGTTCACATGATAGACATGGCATGATTCCGTTCACTGAATGAGCACTAAATCATCAATAAATCCACAATGAATAATTATATCTAAAATACAAGTAGAAAATTCATACATTCCTATATCAAAGCTTCCATATATTGGCAAAGTATATATTGGCAAAAATAACATTTCAAATACATGATGTCGATGGGTAGCCCTCGCATATCCCCGAACTATGTCACGTTGTCAAGAATAGCTGACCTCATGGGCCCTAACCGCTAGTTTGTATACCCCTGCTTGGATTATTTATAAAGAAATTCATTATTAAACAACAAAAATGCCTTTACCCATAGGTGTTAAAATATTTTAAAAGTCTACAAAAAAGGATAAGAATAATCCATCCGAAGAAAAACGATTTGACGCCTTTTTTATTTCAAACTGATTTAGTTCACACATACTAGAATGATAATCCCTTTCATTAAATCATCCACAATGTAATTTTTGATTTAGAATGATAAACTAGTTGTCAGGACTGAGATATCCGCAATCAATGTTTGGTTTGATCATAGAGTAGCATTAACGGACATATTGGTTTTCGTTTTTCGTATTATTTAACCTAAAAATATGTTTTATTGTGTGCTATGTCTTGAACGCAGGTATATCGTTTTTTACTTTATATATGTATTTATATTTGTTCCAGTTAAAGTCTATTTCAGTTAAAAGCCTTGTAGTTTTACAGTTGTTTCTTTGCCCTTCCATTATGTTTTGGTGGCCATTTTTATTAAAATAACTTGCAGAAATGAAATAAATGATCGCACTTTGCATGGATATAAACATAAATATGCACTGGAGTGAAGCATTAAAATTTTTATTTGAATGTATGGCTCTCGCTATTCATATAACAAATTGACGGCCATCTTGAATTTTGAAAAATTATCAATATCTCGTATGTATCAACTGGCAAATAAAGTCAAGCTTATAAGCTTCTCTGAGTTTTGTAACCCAGATGAAATAATTTCTTTTTAAAAAGCTTGCAAGATATAACATAGCAAGCTTTGTCTATGGGGCTCGTCGGAGTGGAAATGGACTCTCAGGAGATGGCACCGTCTGCCACCATCTGATTAATGTCAAATAAGCACTTTCTGAGAGTTTAGGATCTTGACTAACAAATTATCATAATGGACAGAAATAGAAAAGGCGGATATGTTTTTAATAAGACTAAATTTGCAAAAAACGAACTTATTTTGAAGCTTTTTTTACTTTCTGTCATATGTTTTGACGGCCATTTTGGCTTTATTGCTATATGTAACGGGCTTAAGTGTATTCACTAGCACTGTTGTGCTCTCCTGACAGGATACACGTTCAAAAAAGCTGTCAATGAAGTTTACCCGGTGACTTCTGGTCGTTTTTCTATTTTTCCTCATAAATTGACGGCCATATTGAAAAATGCTCAAGGTCTCGGAAATAGCAACCAAGCTAATTTTGCTTCTCTCAACCTAAAGAATGCATTTCAGCAAAAAAAGTTTACAGGAAAAAACATTGCAGGGTTAGCGTTCTGGCTACTCGACTAACTCATCAGTTAGTTGTGCTGTTAGTTTACCTATTGTATTGTGTCAAAAACGTTTTAATTTCATTTTGGGGGTTGATTTTAAATTACATTGCCTATAGTTACGTGAGTCCCAATAAGGTCTACCACTACCTACCCAGGAGACCGTTGAGCCTTTACAGTATACAAAATCTTACTACTGTTTAAAATCCCAAAGATACCAGTATTCAGCTGCTCTAATAATGCCAGAAGCATTCCTCGTTGATAATGTTGCTAATATTACGCTAACTGATTTTTTACGCAGCATTTTTGTTATTTTCATTACAATTAAATGATGATTATCCAGAATTATTTAATCTTTGGTTTAAAAGAAAGAGGAAGTAGAGTATCACATATCGGTGTGCAGGTGACGCATTGCTTTTACTATTAAAAATATGGTGGGGTATAGTCTGGTGAAACAGCACGACGATGACTTTTTATCTATTTATTTGCAGCTCCTGGAAAAAGTTGACAAAAACCTTCATGCAGCTATGAACGACATGAATAAAACCGCCAATAATGTGATGAATGGTGCGTGCAATGCTTCCTCTACCATAGAGGGATTACAATGTTGGGAAAACAACCTAAACCATGGCCTTAGAATTTGACACCTGAACCTCTCTTCTATTAATAGTATCTCTTCTATTCCTCGGATTCGTTACTTTTTCAACACTTAAAAGTCATTTTTATAAGTTACTTATCTTATAATCATGCTTTGGGGATCCATGACGGGNACACATGCCTCATCTTTTTTTCAACCGTTTCCATAGAGAGTTGTAATTGTTTTGACTGTACTTCTTTTAAAGAAACCTGCAAAAGAAAAAAAATCATCTTTCTGATGCATTAATTATTGCGTTCGAACGTATTCAGTTTTGCGTTCGAACGCAATCTTGACATACAGTGGCAATGGTTAAAAACTGAAAACAGTCTGGTAATCACTGTATACTGGCATTGGAATTTTTCGGTATTCATATTCTAAACGTAAGTGTATCAGGTGTGTTTCAGGAATGGAATGGCTACTATTTCCTGGGGCTTCTCTCCATTTGGTTGGCGGTTTTATGTTTAGAACCACTGGTATGCAGCTGAGGTGGCTATTCCCCACAAGAAAATCTACCATAGGAACGCTTATCTCTGGCACAACTGACATGAGTTCTTTCAGTTTTGTTTTAGTCAAGGTATTAGTTAATTGTATGACGGCATGCACATCCACTGAAGAGTTTTTGTGTTTGTATGAACTCTCAAAATTGTTGTTTTATAATAGAAATTAACTGTACAACTGGATTTTCGTTTAGGCACTGAAAACATGTAGGGGTGTTCGGCAACCTTACCCATAAAATTAGAATGAGTTTGTGACAGATGCGTCCAAGTTATATTCGGATCGATCTTATTGTTTCAATTCTTTTTGTTGATTTCTTCAAATGCGGTGTCTAATAACAGTATATTTTCTTTAGTTGGCTTATGATGCTGGGGTACCTTACCGCCTGTCTCTAATTGCCATGGGATGTGGAACGTTTGTGATCGCAACCGCCACAACGATAGTTCTGCCACCCCGTGAGCAAGTGTCTGAGAGTGACGCTTGTAGATGTGGGCGCTCCTTGCGTACCAAGAATGCACCCCATGGCGCGAGATCTATGAAGGTATGTCGTTTTTGACACAGTGCCACATGACACAGTGCCACATTATTTTACCTTGTTCCGAAGGAGTTTTTGTTTTTCTTGACAGTAAAGGTTTATAACTATTTGTGGGATTGTTAATGGACAAGTTACCTGAAACGTTATTCAAATATTTTGATGGTATTAAGGAAATGAATGTTTTATAATTTAAGTAAACCAGGGTCTCCCGATATCTGTCCAGTATTTGCCTTCTCCTTGTCGGAGGTCTACAATCAGTGACGTGCTCTCTACTATTGCTGTTGGTATCATATAACATGTCAAAACCTAAAGTTCATGAAAATATTTAGTAAAATTTTGTTTTATAAAGTAATGGTTATATACAGATACGTTTATGTGACAAGATTTCAGAGCTGATAAGTTAAAGGGACACCCCATGGGATTTTCCAGCCAAAATGAATTTCCTGGAGGAAAGAGGGATTTTCTCCTACTCACAAATAATTGAGCTTTCCTTGCACTTTGGTTCCATGTTTAATTCCATTTTTAATTTAATACTTTCATTTAAGCGAATGACTGGTAATTATAAACGGCATATGGGGGATTTACAAACGCATTCCTAAATTCGATTTCCAACAATTCATTTTGGTGGGGAATTCCTATGGAGTGGCCCGTTAAGTAAAATTGTTTTCAGTCATTAATTAAGCCTTGACTGTCTCCCTCTTATAAAAAGAGTTATAGGAGCTTATTCATCTCTCAATAAAGTAGAAGTATACAAAGAAAGATGTATAAAATGTCTATGCTGAGTTTGAATGTTTTTAAACTGAAATGTTTTACTCGTAGTGCGCACGGAACAAAGAACCCAAATTCGACTGCGATAATTATGCTCTGGAAGTCGATTCAGACATCAACGTAAAACCGAACCCGGCTATGGGAAACGACACACCTGATGGTGACTCAAAAAATTCATCAAATTTTGCAATACCAGGAAAAAATGAAGGAATAACAGAAGGCAGTCTGGAAAAGCCAGGCATGGATATTGACGGGTTTTCGGTCCACAATCACTTATCCACGCAAAATCTTTTCTCAGTAGCAGAACAGGTGGATGCTTCTGTTCTCAAGGAAAACAAAAGCAAAGTTATTGCAACCAGAGTTGAGGAATATGTTCCATTCAGTTCTGTGTTGAAGAACCCTATGTTCTGGCTGACAGAGCTTTGGTATTCCTGCAACGTCCTTCTCATCGCCTCCTATTTTGGCAGTTTTAACGCAATAGTGGATTACAGGGCGTATGGGGATCGTAATTTAAGTAAGCACAGTTTTTTTCTACTTAACTAAGGGTACTTACAAGATATAAAGGGGGTGGTATCTGTTTTTATTATTATCATCCAAATTTATTCAAACTGTAAGAACTTATTACATAACAGTAGATCTACGTGTGTTTAATCTAGTCAGAAGTAAAATTTTGTTTCCTGTACTATGTTTCAGCCAGTCATTATACAAATGTATTTGGCTACATGCAACTTGGATTCAGCATTCCACTAGCGTTAACAGTCGGCCATTTCTTGGACAGACAGCACAGAGGCGAGGGCTTGATTCATGGTATTCCCCTCTCTTTCTTCGTCCCTCCCTCCCTCACTGCCTCTCCCTCCCTCTCTCTCTCTTTCTCTCTCTCTCTCTCTTAGAGGCGACATATATCGTTTCAAGCACTTATTTCAAAAGAAGGACAACTTGAAACTCGTTAAAATTCCATAACTGTTGGATTTTTTAAAATTATGGACAGGGGACTATTTACGGTAAAACACTGCTCTCCGTCTATCCATGCACACAAAAAGTAAAGCACCCACTTTAAATATTCCTTATTAGCGAGTGCTATTATTTGCTGCTAAACAGGACTAAATGCCATTTTGTGGTTTTAAATAGGATAACTGAAAATAATACCTAAACGTTTTGGTACATAAAAAATGTATATTTGCACATATATTTCTGCTTACTTTTCTCTCTGTGCCTCAAGGACTACAATTAACGACCAGAAATTTGAAGAAGGTGCAGTTTTAGAATCTATTTCTGGTACCGAATTTCAGATAGGTTTTTGGCATGTGGATTATATTATTGCAGAGTAAGGAACTGACACTAATAACTTATATACATTGCCAGGGATTTACTATCGCTTCATATGTATTACTTGTTACGATTTTTTAAAGATGCATTTCCTTTGGCAATTCAACATAGTTCCCTTGTTTCCTGATAGCTGAACCCAAAACCTTCATCACGCCATCCCTGATCACGTGTGTGTCAGGACTGCTGTTGTGGGTGACATGCGCAGTGCCGGTGTTGGAGGGGCAATATGTGGCAATGGTTCTGCACTGTATGTTAAGATCCTTCACATTTGCCGTGCTCATCACATTCATCGCATATGCGTAAGTATTTGCTTCGCATACCATGCATATAATGGGAAAGTTATATAAGAGCTTATTAGTTTTTTGTACCCCGGTATTTTAGCCTAGTGTCATATTCTTATTTATATTTAGGGAAATACCTCATACCTTTACCTTTATTCATTGTAACGTATGCATCTACATGGATAGATGAAAATGTACAAAAGGAATGCAAATATAAATAAATATGAATTATGTTAAGTAGTGATATTGTACGACGCCTAGTATGAAAAAATACAAAACATATTTGGCAGAGCCCAAATGGCTCTACCTACTCAACTGGTAATGGGTGCAGCACAGTCCCTTTTTTGGAAGGCTAACCATAAATACTTGGCAAGAGCAATAATATGTTCATTCTTCTGACCAGTCATTAGTGTTTTAAATTTATCCATTCTGGTAAGATGCTCAAAGTTACTATGTTGTTTTTTGTATACTGAATAAAGATCATATCGGAGGTCTGTATAAAGGGGGCATGACACTAGGAAATGGATTTCATCTTCTATTTCGCCAGAATGGCACTTTTTGCAAATTCTGTCCGCTTGGGGAATTTTTTCATGTCTACCTGTTTCAATACCTAGGTTGTGTGTACTTATGCGGAATCTGGTTAGAGTGGTGCATTTATCTCTATCTTTAATTGTATCTAAGTATCTTTCCTTCACATATTTGTTCTTGTATTGACAATAAACTTGCAATTTGGACTTGATGTTGGTTATGTCTCTCTGCCATTCTTGTGTTATTCTGTCCCTGGTTCTTTCCCTAAACCGCTGGATAAAGTTTTTATCATATCTTCGACCTAGCCACACATCACCAAAGCCATTCTCAAAAAGTATTTGTCTCACACCTTCCCACCATGGCATGTTTTCCTGCTTTATCTCTGTAAGGTTGGATGTGTTTGAAAGTTTGTAATTTTCTATTTCATCCAGGTATATGTTTACTAGTATGTACATTATCGCTTATAGTATACCTGCCTGTGCAAAGGATACGATAAATATTCTGTGAGTTATCCATTTTCTTACAGGTACACTATTATATGGATTTTACGTAGTTTTGAACGCATGTACGTGTACTAGCACAGTCTGCGTCGAAGAACTCGCGATCGTAACTTCATAATCCAGATATATTTGTTTTTTCATTTGAAACGGATGTTGTGGAAGTTTCCTAGGTATCAACTAAAGTTTCGATCTGCACATTGCCTTATTCGAATACTTCCACGATTCAAACAAATTGTTCGGTTCAAAAGAAGTTTACTGCAGATTCCTATATGTATTTCATTTTGATTGCTCTAAGTACACTTTATAGAATGGTCAAGGATAGGGTCTACTGAGAAGGCGCAGCTGCTTGGTTACTTAAGCCCCCTTTACACTGGACGGTGTCCTTTCTGTGTCCAGCAGTACGGACCCATTTGAGAGTTAAAAAATTATAATACTTTACGTGCCGACAACTGGCCAATCATTGAGCATTCATTCTGATACCAAATCAATGCTCGTGCCTCCTTATTAAGACCACAGCGATGCCAAATTTCATGGTCGCAGAAAGGACGCAGGAAGGACGCCGTCCAGTGTAAAGTGTGTATTATTGAGAATGATTATTGCGGAAATGCTTAGTATGCTTACACCTTAGAAAAAGTGACATTGTATTTCTGAACATTGTATTTAGATTTCATAATGCGTGATAACTTTATACTGATATTTGCACCTGGTATTTATGTCATTTTAAAGATTATATGCATTCACAGGTTTCCACATGAACATTTTGGCAAAGGCTACGCCGTGCAGTGTGGTATTCAGTCAGTGACAGGTTTCCTGCAGTTTCCACTATTCTCTTGGTTCAAGAGCCGCCTTGGAGGGGATCCACTTTATGTAATTATTTTCTTTGTTTCAGGACATATAATATAATATAATATAATATAATATAATATAATATAATATAATATAATATAATGTTCTGTTATGCTATACTATGTAATATAATGCAATGTCATATAACGTACCGTAACGTAATGTTACAGATAGCATGTATGACCTGAATATTCCTGTTATTTTTCAGTTCAGTGTGACTCTGTGTGGTATATCCTGTTTGTCGCTCAGTCTTCCAATATTCCTACTAAGACGGCCAAAGGTCCATCAGAGAGGACATGGCAGAGAGGATGCGAAGACCACCATGTCTTGATTGCGTTAGCTGTGCCTTCAGCACATTCATGAGCTGTTGCACTTGTTGTGTGAACTGACAAAAGCGTGAATGTTATATTAATAGCGTAACTGTAATACCACTATTTGCCGTATTTTAACCCCCGAATAGTTGGCACGTGTATTATATATCCAAATGGACGTTTGGTCATAAAAAGTGGGTCATTTACCATACCCAATCCAAGCGAAAAATGATACTTGGTAATCAACTTTTCAAAGCACTGGCACATCGGTGCAGACGCTGCAGGTGGAAAGGAACCAAGATACCGATCATTTAAATCGCGGACATAGTTAGTTATAATTCATTGCCTTTACAAGTAGACTTCCTCAGTTTTAATGTTAAAACATTTAATACGATTATTATTATTTTTTTTTTATTCATGATAGGCCTATTAATCAATTTGATGTGAGGTAGCCTAGTTGGGACTTTATAAAGAAATCTCAACAATATTTGAATAATATCCAGTAACAGAGAAGGATAGGCTAACAATGTGAGTGGAACATCTACCTGAGGTGTGCAATCAGCTGAGCTATCCTCGACGAGAGCAACATGACAGCCGCTGAAATATATGAGTGCAAAAATTAACTTGTTTTAGCAGCTTAGTCTGTCGTGAAACAGCTGATGGAATTCTTGAAAGTCTTAAATTGAAATGAAATAAATTACTTAAAAAGGACCAGGGTATTTATTTATTTATTTATTTATTTATGTGTGTGTGTCGGAGTGGAGGACGTAGGGTCCGCAAGGGAATATCTTTCTCTGGCAATGGTCATTGTTGTCAGGTGTGCGCCCGACGTGTATTTGAAAGAAAAAATACACGCAACAGTCCACAAAATCCACAAACAGCTGTTACCTAATCACGGTCTTTGTTCAATAATCTGCCTTGAGATCATCAATCGGAAAGAAAACACATGTTAACGTGAAATTTTAATGATTCAGGTTTTATACCGTTTGTCTTAGTGAATTGGGACACCTCTGTCAAAAATATCCGACATCTATGAAAGTAGGACAAGCATTTGGTTTGTGGAGAATTACACGTGGGCCTACAAACAGCACAATATAACAAACGGTTCTTTATTAATATTGCATTGATACTCATTAATAGGCCTACATCAAAGGCGTGAGCACCCGCAAACTAGGACATCTAATATTTATCCATTCAATTGATACGCGCTTGTCTAGTCAGTTAACGAACACATTTTTCTGTATGAAGTAACTGTAGGCACGGGGATGGAAACAAATTGTTTGTTTTTGCCTCGTTACGCTCGTTTTACTATACATGTAGGGGTATTTGTGCGAGGATAGGCTAATACCGCCGAAGCTGACGGAGGTTCATAATGTGCCCCGGCCCTGTATCCGCCAATGCCTCGTTAGGTTCCGTTTACACGTTATCAATGCACGCACAGTGCATGCTGCATATATGGTGTTTGATTTCACAAAATGTCGGTAATATCTTCGAGGGCAGCGGCAGTGAGGTTCAATGGAGTTGCACTTTTTTGGATCTCAGGAAATGACAAGTATAGGGCCTTCTTCATAACCACTGATATGCAGCATTTTAAAGTTCAATGTACAAATGCATGCATCTTTTAATACGTAGGCCTACACTAACAAAACTTATCCAGTTTATTTGTTCAAACTAAAACGAGAAAAATTATATCAAAAAGTCCAGACGGTAAACACCGACAGGCTATGAGAATTTCACTATTTCGTTCATTCCAAAGGTAGGCTACATTTGAGCGTCGGTGGAGCGTTGATTCCCAATAGGCCTCTTAATAAATGATGATAATAAATAAATAAATAAATAAATAAATAAATAAATAAATGAATAAATAAAAACAAACAAATAGAAATAATAATGATAATTATAATATCTGCCGAATTTTTGAAACCGAAATCTCTGAAATATTGGCATCTACCACCAGCCAAAAACCTTACCCCAAACAAACATCCAGTAAGACTGTGTAGGCCCCTATATAGGCCTACCCCCCCCCCCCCCCCCCCCCCAAGTAGCTCCCCCAAGTAGTTCGATCGTATTATGAACCCTCGACCAGGGCCACAGATTGATTTTTCACGAGATATTATAATTAACAGATATGTCTCTGGTTAAATAGATGGCTAATCTCTGTACTGTCGCATCAGGAAAAATGTCCACAGAATAAATTCAATAATAACTTCGGCCCTGGTAGAGAGACGTCACTGGAAAAGGGGATTTCCCTCCTCCCTAGCCTGCCTCGTTATCGCTGTAGTCGGCCATTTGTAGGCTGTAAACAGAAGCGTGCTTATTTTCACGTTGTTTTGTTTTTTAGATTACACCTACGAACCAAATATGTCGTGCAGGTAAGCAAGGCATTGGTCAGTGCTGCAGTTCTACAGTATATAGTCAAGTGGACGTGCAGTGTCATTGCAGTGTTCCACGCAAATCAATGTCACGGTCGCGTTGTTTGTGAGTGGCGTGGGCCATGTTTTTTTTTCTAGGTTAAGGTCAGTGTGAGATGCGCTTACTTCTTTTATGTGAGTCATCTGTTTTTACTTTATTATGTATGTAACTGTGTAATAAATTGTGTTTGTTTATGCTTGTAATTGGTACCTTGATTGTTAAGCTTCAAGGTGCGCCGGTAGCACAAGTAGTACGCATACATTGTACGTCAATATTGACAAGAAAGCAATCGTAAGCTTAGATGCGGAAAATCTGCATATGGAATCACTCTGGATGTGAACTACTGCAGTTGCTTGCCCAATGTAAAAATAAAGTAATTATTCTTCAGACAACATCTTAATGTTGCAATAATTTTTACCTCCAATATTTCGATGTCTAGCAGAACATCTTCATTTTTCTAACATAAATAAAACAGCTGATGAAATTCTTCTTTGCCCAACGTATTTTTGAAGTAGGAAGAAGCAGATTTTAGTTGTGCCCAAAATTGTTTTTATACCCTAGGGCCCATGGGGGCGTCTCGATAGTCCGAAGGTTCATTGGTCCGAAGGTTCATTGGTCCGAAAAGTGGTAACATTTTCATCGATTTTTTAATCAAGGGTTCATTGGTCCGAAGGTTCTACAGTGAACATTCGGACCAATGAACCTTCGGACTATTGAACCTTCGGACTATCGCTACGGCCCCGGGCCCATTGCCTCAATTTTTAGCCTTTCTTGTTATGTAGGTAAGGATTCATTCCACCCAGTATAGTGTATAAGAGTGTATACCGAGTGTATAAGACCCCATTTCCATAGATTTTAGATCGATCTATCCCTGTGGGGAGTATCACTAGACAACTGTCAGCTTAGCCGGCTTAAGCGTCTGTCCCGCCTACTGAAAGCTGTAAGGGGGTAATTAACTATGGTGCGCGCTCGGCTGACTGCAATTTAGCGTGAACCCCCAGGGGGTTAGGTCGATCTAAATCTTAATCTCTGGATCGATCTAAATCTCTGGGAATATACCCTAAGACGTTGCATTTTTTTTATTTATTTATTTATTTATTTATTTTTTTTTTTGTAAATGGCTGGAATAAAAATAGCAAAACATTATCAGATTAGTGTGTGAAATGATATAAAAGCACTTTAAATGTGAATTCATACAGTGTATATACTATGGTACATGTACAGGTACAAAGTTTAACATAAGACAATGCATATTTGCAAATTGTGGGTCTTTTTTCATCAGTTATCTGCTTTTATCTTTAAGCGAGTGAATCTGTATGTTTTGATAAATGTATCTTATCAATTTTCAGTTTTACCAAATATCAGCCAATGTGAGCGTTGAAGCAGTGATTACTGTTTGATTGAATTACATAGCTGATGTTTGGTATGCTTAAGATGGAGATGAAGAGGGTAAGGCATTTGGACAATACCAGTATATTAATCAGCTGTAATACCCCTGTATATTGCTTATCATACATGTAGCCTAGCCAGGATTCATGAACAATCTGAACAATACATAACAAAGCAAGATGATTCAATGCACCAGTATACAAACTAGAGGCATTAATGGTTGTGCATCTTTTTACTAGTATTTATTTATTTATTTATATTTTTTGTCAGGACATCTTATGTTAACTTAACCATTTTCCTTCCAGTTCCTCTGTGTTGGTCTCCTCTGTCTAGGATGTGTGCTTGCCTTTGACTGCCCAACTTAGTAAGTCTATTCTATGCTTAAGACTGCTTTACATCAAAAGGACTTTGATCTGGCTTAGATTACACGGATTCTATACATTTAATACACTCTGCCTAGTTTACTGGGTATTTTGAAAATGATGAACTTGGAACAATTGATCCACATTCAGCTGACAAGTTGTTCACTTGACTAGGCTTAAGTCACTACTATGTAAATCTCTGTATTAAGTTGACTAGAATTTGGTCTGAGGATTAAGCTTGCACATCAATAAACAAACAATAATTTAATAATTAAATTGATTTAAAACAAATAAATGAAAATAGAAATAAAAACAAATTATGCTACCACTAAGATTGTTTGTGAAGTGTTTTTGAGATAGATTACCTAGCTGACATCTAGACAGAATTAATTATGACACGTCTGAACATTCCATGATAGGAACTGTTACATGAATTTTTTATTACACTGTATATTTTTCTAACTGTACTGTATTACTCTAAAGCTCTGAAATTTCTTTCTACCTCTTTATAGCATGTACCATAAAAATGGAGAGTGCCATCCTTGCCTTCTGTGTAAAAAGTATGGTGGTGCGCCCAAGCCTGACCATGTGGAAGATGGCTGTTTTACATATGTTCCAACAGCAGACAGCAATGATAAGCTGCACATCAGTGGTTATGGTCCACTGTATTGCAAGACAGGAAAAAATCCAGGTATTTTATTTCTCCCCAAATAGATCACATTTGGAGATAAAATATCGTGCCTTGGTTATACTTAGTCTTTTACTTGACACAAAACAAACTGAAATTTCAGTCATTGACAAACTGATTTTTTTTATTCCAAATTCAATGTAGTATAAATGTTATTATTGTAGAAAATTTAAAAAAAATTAGTAGCTTTAAAAAATTGGAAAAAAAATGAGCAAAAATTCTTCATATTACAAATTTAGCTGAGATCAAATAAGGAAACAGATATTAGAATTAGCACAGATAGGGGTGTCAGGAGAACAGTTAATTGTGCACTACTTTCTTGTTCAGAAAAAAATATACATTTACTGAGTACCATAGACATATTTATGTTCAGTATTTGTTAAAAGAATTATTTACTAGGTCTGCCCTAGTTCTGACCTCTGTTTTGACATAACCCCCTTTCCTGTTCCTATACAACGTAAAGCTAAATTACCTATTTTCTTACTTTTTTATCAAATACTGGTCAGCAAACTCATTATTGCAAAAGAGTAATCCATAAAGATGCTGTACATATATGTATGATACATTGAAGAGCAAGAATTGGCCTGTTTTACACCCTAAAAAATTGTTATTACCTGATTTCTGTTGTTTTCCGGTGTGTACTTGGCTACTCCCGGAGATACATCAATAAAACGGGTAATATCACGTAATGTGATTGACTTAGGACTTAAGTAAGTATTAATATTGAATATTCAAAATGTTTTCTAATGATCCCAAAAAGTGACCCCCAAAACGGGTAATATCACGTAATGTGATTGACTTAGGACTTAAGTAAGTATTAATATTGAATATTCAAAATGTTTTCTAATGATCCCAAAAAGTGACCCCCATACCCAAAACCTGCACTTTAAAATTTCAGAGTGCCCCCAGGTGTGGGAGGTATACCCAGTGCAGAATGGAAACTGGAGTTGCTCGGGTTATAGGGATAACTGGTTCAAGACGAAGTGTACGCTGGAGTGCCTGCCTGGCTTTGCGGTCCCTGTGGCAAATGTTACCATGGAAAATGTTACCGTGGAAACGGTTACTGTGACATGCGGAATACATTTGAACTGGACTGGTGTATCAGCAACAGCACCACAGTGTCTCCCAGTGCCTGGTAAGAGAGTGAGAGAGAGAGAGAGAGAGGGGGGAGGGGAGGGAGAGAGAGAGAAAGGGGTAGAGCAGGCAGACAAGAGGACGAAAGACAAGAGAGCGTGTTAAGGAAGGTGGGGAAAGAGGTACAGCTTGTGACAATGTAATGAACATAAAATGTTCATGTTACTGAGACAAAATTTTTAAAATAAAAATAAGCCAGAATAATGAAATGTTCTGAGAGTAAGAAGTGAAAGTAAAGTGAGGCAAAGAGTCAATTATTTTGTTCTGTAGCATAATTAAAAAATCATTATTAAAACTGTGGAATATCATTTACTTATATTATTACATGTACTGTACTAGTAACCTTATACTGCGTCATTTTCCTTAAACCGCTGTCCCCTCCACAGAAACAACTACACCACAGGCAGCCATAGTACCAGTGACCAACACTGTGGAACAAAGCACAACTACGGTTCACAATGTGAATTTATCATTGCCAGTCACCCTGAGTAATATTACCATGACAACTGGTACAAGTTACACAACTGAAGGTGGCAGCACTGGTACTAAAGGTGGAGGTCACATGGTCCCAGTTTTTCCAATAGTCGGAGGTGAGTAAAGGGGAAGAATATGGTCTTGTGCATTTCTTCAAGTGCACCAGCTGAGTTTTATTGATTTAATTATTTATTTATTAATTTAATAATTTATTTATTAACAAGATCAACTACAGAAGTTATTTGCCTCATGGTCAATGCAGGTGGGTTGAGAATGTTGTAGTTGTTGTTGTTTTTCTTCACTGTATAATGGTGTTTTGAATAATGCATTGGTAAGAAGCGGAAGTGAAAAAATGAATTTGTCTGATTTACATGATACTCATTCATGCCTTTACAAGTTTACTGCAGACCAGGCTGGGTGGAGGGTGCTGGAGAGATTATGTTTCAGAGAGGAAGATTAACACACAAATACATGCACAAATAAAAGTAAAGCTTTCTTATTTTTTCATGTGACTGTCTACGCAATGATTTCATACAGACATACCTGAATATGAGTAAGGTGTGTGTACTTATCTATCAATAATGTATTGCAGGTGTGTTAGGATCACTGATAGCCCTGATAGTCTTGGCAGTCCTAATTTATGTAGTACGGAGGAAATGTTGTTACTCTCCAAACAGGTGCTTCGAAAGGAACTATTCACTTGGTAGGAAAATACTTTTGATGAGAAAAACTTATATAGTTTATGCTGTTTATGTAGTTTTTTTTTCATGTTTATCAGTTGTTTTAATTAATTGTTAAATTTTTCTTTTCATTGACTGTTGCCTCATAGAAAATTGCACTGGTACATTTCACTGTATTTCTTGAGAATTTTTAAATGCTATATGTGTAGATAATTATTTTTCATATCAAGAATATATTATTTAAATGAATATTTCACTTATGTGGTACTTCATACAATTTTTCTTATTCAGCTAATTCAGAATCAAGTGATGGCTCAGACAGTAAATTTGGTAAGTAGTTAAAAAAGATTATTTTCAAAGCTTAAATATACATATTACAGGAAGAGTTTTTTAATTAAATAGCTGAGGAGTAGTGACCTATGAGCCATTTGAATGTTTTGCCGTTATGATACATGTATAGTACTTTCAGCACTAGTACCCTATATTTGTGCAAAATTTAACCAAATGGCATTTTCCACTTTTTTTGAAGATAACCATTTCATTTTAATCTTTTTATTTAATCTAAATTCATTTTTAACCTTCTTTAAGGTGCTGTGAACATGTGATTATGAATGTTTTTTTTTTTTTTTTTCGTTTTTTTTTTTTTTGCAACATTTGCACTGTTTATAAATAAATCTATATCCAGACAGACGTGTCAGCTTTTAACTGAATCCCACAATGACAATTTAATATATTTACCTGTGATTTGATTTCTTCTGACCCCACTGGTTAAACTTACAATAGGTGGGGTAGACAAAGGGGCGGGGTCTGCAGACTAAGGGGCAGGGTCCGAAGACAAAAGACTATTCTTATTCGTGGACTTCAGACTCTGTAGTGCTTGGCCTGGCATACTTTTTATGGGTGTAAACGATATTTCTAGATATGCACCTATGCAATAAGTATATTTGTTCTTATATGTTATTATATGCACAGTGTTTATTTTCGAAACCAGTAAGAGTATCCTTTTAAAGCCACAGACTGGTCTCTTCTGTCATTTTTCTAAGAATGGTGAAGGAATCTGAGTTTTGATTTGAAAAAGCAAAAGAGAGGGGATGGTGGGTGGGTGGGTGGGTGGGTGGTGGGGGGGGAGACAGACCCTCAAAGATGTCCACCTGTGAAATACAAAGCACCTCATAATATAAGCCCTCACCAGTCGAACCTGTTTTAATTTCAAGCAATGGAAAGCATGCTCATGCATGTCACAGTTTGCTAGGCACATGCATCAGTGTATTGGTTTTTGTAAAAAAGAAGCTGACACCCACATTTATGTTGTCATCCTGAGTTATTGGAAGCATAGTCTACTTTTGTGCTGGAAGTAGAGGGCGTGTCAGAGATGGAAAGGTTTCCTCCTTTATGTTTACAAACAGGGGTACAAAAAAAATCTGGATTTTGTGTGAAATGTTCAAAACTTGAAAATAAGGGCATCTGAGAGTTTGTTTCTCGTGCACCCAGAAACCCAGGATGACACTTTAATGAAGATTATAGGCCAAGTGTATTGTGTTTGTGCATCCACAAGATTGCTGCATGCCTATTCTGAATGTTTTATTTTGACAGATAAAGACACTAAAGAGGAAATATTACCCCCTAAGCCAGGTTTGTAAATGCCTTCCCTTAAGTGTTCTGTTTCAGTTTGGACATGTATATGCATGGTTATTAATTTTGAAAACTTGATTTACTGCATCTTTACGTTGTTCCCTCTCTCTTTCTTTGGTAGTAGGTCATTAAAAGGAAACATAACAGCTGGGTAAATTACAAAAAAGATGATGTTGTCTCAACATACAAATATATATTTTTTACTTGAAACTTTCTGCCAAGAATGAAAATGAAACTCCCAATAACAAGAAGTTAGTAGTGGATTTTTAAAAATTGGTATAATTTAGGTTATGTCTCAATCTTTTCAATGAGCAAATATTATTAAACTTTCAGATACATAATTTTATAATCACATAATTATATTTCTATAAAGCATTTGTGGTATTACAATTTTGCACTTGTTTTTACTAATTCCTTGCTTATTCAACATTTAATTTAGTTAGGTTTGAAAAATTATTTGCTGCTGAATGTGTCCTTTGGGTGATATCATGATATGCTTAAATTCATTCAGTATTTGAAAGATAAAAAATTGACAAAGAATTAAATTTGGCTTCCTTCGATGGGAGTTACAGTAATTACATGTTAATTTAAAATGCTTCATGTGTTACCGTATGTAAATTGTAAGACTTCTCATTTGAGATATTTCACATCATTTGTGGCAAGTCCACCTACATTGCTTTTTTTTTTTTTTTTTTTTTTGGGGGGGGGGGGGGGGGGCTTAAAGTAAGAGCATTATTTTAGGAAATGTGTTTTTATTTCATTTATTGTAATTGATAGCCACACTTCAAAAAGAAAAGTTCAATTGTCGTAATTCTATTTTGGGTGCATGGTTTTTCTTCCAGTAGTGGGTTTTCAGGATGTCCTAGTAGTACATGTATTTGACATTTATGCTTCTTATATTTTGTCCCAGTGCTTTTATTTATTTTTTTCTTATCATTGCCATTTGCCTCGTGTTTAATGTGTAGGGGATGGAATGACTTTCATTCTCCGTCACTGTAACAAGTATAAATATCTATAATGCTACTGGCATGTGCTTCATTAAACCAGACATCTTTAAATTATTACCAAAGTTTATGATGATTTGACAAAATGCATAAAAGAAATTTCCATAATCAGTGTGATAAGGTGAATATTTATAGATATTTATAGATAATATTTTAGTCTTACATCAGAGATTCTCTATACACTATTATATGATTATCCTTTTCCACCCTCTTTTATTGCAGGACTGACCAATGATGCCTGTCATGTAGAAGAAGATGGCACCCCTCATTCAGTAAAACCAACCCCCCGGATAATTAATGTTTACAGCCCAAATGTGACTATCAACTCTGATAAAGTTGACCAGTTTACTGTGCAAAAAGTAGAGGACAGTCGTGTGCTATGCGACTCAGAAATAAATGTACAGACATCAGTTGAGGACAATTGCTGTGTCGATTTTACCTCAGGTGACCTTGACTTATCTGAAAAGGTTGAATGTGAGGACACAAGTACTCTTTCAGCTATGACATCTTTACCGTCATTTTCCTTCGAAAAAGGTGAATTGAGTCATATTGAGACTCCACGGAAATCCTTAATGTATACTGGAGATGGAGAGGGTGATGGCAATTTCAGGTCTGATTCCAATGATGACTGGTCTCACCCAACTGATGACAGGACAAGCGCAAGTGACAAACCACACAAAAAAGAAGTCCCATACAACTTACAATCGCAGTTGTCAGACGATAGCACAAAATCCACAGAAAATGGAAGCAACAATAACAACAACAAAAAAGGTGGGATTAATATCAAGAAGGCGTCCAAAGTGAGAGCAAATCAAAAGACTGTGGTGTCAGGGAGCGTGAGCCCAGAAGACCATGCGTTTGTCTCTGGTTATGACTTTGGAGGCATTAACATAGAAGAAGCAGACGATGTGGAGGCAAACCAGGAGCTCCATCTGGTGGGAGATCAGAGCCCAACTGAGGGACATCCACCAGGGGGCAGCAGTGTCAGGAAGCCTCCTGTTGGTGCAAGTTTATCTACAGTAGGTGAGTGAATGATTGTGATTTCAAATCTTGTTTGAATTGTTTTAAAAAATAGCCTCATATTTATATTCTTCCATTACCTTTTTCAGCCAGCCAAAGTTTTAGTCACTCGTTCTTTTTCTCACTTTTTCCTTCAATTGTGCAATGTCCCATTCACCATATGCTTTTGAGCATTTAATTATGAATTGATGTGTGTTATGGTCTTGTTTGTCAGACACCAGTACAGCTGCAGAGGGCCAGTCTGACTCCACTGTCCCCAAGTGTCCCCCTCCTACTGTTGGACCATACTGTGGAGTAGCAATTCCCACAAGCCAAGTAAAAATTGGTAAGTAGATGCAGAAATAAAGTTGCTTTTTGACCAGTAGTAGTCTCAGTTTTCTGTGTTTTTTCTTGAAGTGTATTGTGCCTGGAACTATTGTTACAGTAGTAAAATAAAGGAAATGGCTTAATCACTTAACAATATCTAGAATTGTAAGTTGACATGCGACAGTAAGGATTTTGTATGGATGAGAAATTTAGCTAAAACTCGGAGAAGAGAAATAGTATTTAAAAAATGTGATATAGTACCATCATAGATTTACTGTATTTTCAATGGGCATTTCTGTATTCCCTTGTTTTGATTTTTTTATCATCGTGTTTATGATTTTAAACGAATGGTTTGTCTTCCTATCTAGGCTCAAGCACAAGTCTAGCTATAGTAAAACTGCCAAGTCATTGTAATGATGGCCGCGAAGAAATTTTCATCTGGTACCACCTGGCTTCAGCAACAGCTCTTGTTGGATCTCAGACCTACACCATCACCAGTGCCAGCCCAAAGGATTCTGGGAAATATCACTGGACAGTTTTGCTAAGTGATGGAAGTTTATTTCATGGACTGGTTGAAGTGACAGTCACAGGTGACAGCCTTGACCTTTGACCCAATAAAAAAACTCAGCCTTTGACTCTGGAACTTTCTAAGCTCCACCCACTGACCTTGACCTTTTTTAGATCCCATCCACTGACCTTGACCTCACCTATATAACCTTGCTAAACTAAATCCAGCAAACTGAGCCTCTTTCAACTATCTCAGGTTTTCTAGATTTGCTCTGTTTACCTTTTCAGCATGTTACTTAAAAAATATTGTTTTGGTAAAAAAATTATGATGTTATTCTAAATCCAGTAAGCATACATTGGAAACTTTATTTATTTGTTTTTATATTTACTTGTTTATTTGTTTAACATGCTTCAGGAGACCAGCATTCTGAGGACAACTTAATGCCGTCAAAGACAGCTGATGTCTCCATCCAGCCACTCACTGCCAATGGAGGACAGTATAGGCTGATAGAAGGTACTGGAAACAGCAGTTCATTATCATGTAGAGCCTGAAGTGATCTAATGCTGGACAAAGGCCTTGGCAAAAATTAGTAACATGGTTTCTGCTACTTGTAAAGTATTGTATGTATATCTGAAGCATTCACTTCAAACCTTTCAAATTCTTTATATACTTAAGAAGGTCTCTGTGATAGAGATGCAGGTTTTGCAAGTTTTGATATTTCCCCAAAAATTTCACACATTTCTTAATTGTCAGGACATTGGCCAATATTGCAGCCTAGTTGAAGCATTCAATGCCAAAATAAACAAAAGTATAAAGTTGAAAACCATATTGTTTATTTTAGGCTCTTCTGGCAGCCTCCCCCAGCCTGGGCTGACCTTTGACTTCCTGCGTCTTGTCACAAACATGAATCCCCTCCTGGTTCCAGTCAACGGAATCAGGAACAGGACCCCTGGTCAGAATTGTGGTCAGCCAGGGGGCAGTACTAGTCAAGGCACAGCTAGTATACACCAAAAAAGTGGTAACTGGGACCTTAGTTTGCATGAAGGTGATCAGACTAAAGGACGCACAGATGGGAAGGACAAGTCAAGCTCTTATAGTTTGGACGCAGGGACACAGACTGAAGGTTTGGTGCCCAAGTGGGTCCACAGTGATAACAGTACTGGGTCAGAGTCTGCTGTAGGGGATCACTGCTTCCTACAGCTGGGAGACCCTTATCTCTCCTCTTTGTCGGACTTTGGCCAATGGTCATCTGCTAACCACTCCAGTGTAGACAGTGGATATGTACAGCTGGCTGCTGGACAGGGCGGATGCAGCACCATGGAGACAAATTTCAGTAGCATGTGTCCACCATCGTTGGTGACGTTATCTGACAGTTCGCAAAGCTCTTTTGTGAGCAGCGACTCTGTGTACAATAGTGGAAGTGAAAACAGCAGTAGCTATGGTAGCAGTCACTATGGAAACAGTCACCTTAGCAATGGTAGCCGTGACAGTGGAACTCAGACTGATTTATACAGTGATAGCCTGCAGCAGGATCAAACATTCAGAAAAGAGTTGATTAACTGTAGTGAGAACATGGGCAATCACAGTAATAATATTATTAGCAATGGGATTAGTAATATTGGACATGGGGAAGGATTGGCCATGGGTGCAAATGCTATAGAACTTGCAGATTTTCCCAAAGCAGAGGGTAGGATATGCTATTTTATGACACAGTATGATAAGATGTCAGTGTAAATGTATAGATATTGTGTACTTAAAATCAAATCTTTACCTAGTAATTTTGAACAACTCAGTGATGCATTTAAATTATTACTTAATTTTTCAGATCTTTATTGTTATTTGTTTATATCAGAGTTTACAAAAAGTGGAAATGATAGATACAGTATAATTTTTTAGCTGGGAAATCTAACACAAAGTTGAGATTGAAAAAAGGAGTCTATGCCTAACAGTGGCCTGTCCCTCCTTATGTTAGGGTATACCTTGCGACATGGCTGTTTCTTGGCATTGTCAAAATTAATTCAGTGAAAAGAATTTAAAAGTGGTTTTAAAATACAAGTAATTATCACAGAGCTGACAAGGAAGTTAAAGAATTATGGTTTGTCACTGTTCATTTTCCTTATCTGAATTTGTGTATTTTCTTTTCTCACTGTCAGATTCCAACAGTTGCACCATGCTCCTCTCAGAGCTGATGGAATGCAGGGAATTCATGGATGATTTCTGTATACTGATGGACCCAGACAAGAATTGGGAAGAAATGGCAGCCATTTTGTTCAGCTTGCCTCCACATGTACTGAAGTATATAGAGTGAGTGTCGATATTTGTAGGCAGGGGAGTTTGGAAAAAACCTATTTTGGTTGGAAAAGGTTTTTTTTTTTTTTTTTTTTTTTTTTTTTTTTTTTTTTTCATCAAAGTTTGTTCTGGGTTCTATATGCCATTTCTCAAGTTGGGCCTATTAAAAGTTAAGAGAACAAGTTGACTTTTTTCAGTAAAGACCCCCCCCCCCTCTGAAATTATTGGCTTCAGATCTATCAACTGGCTGCATCTAAGTCATATAGCAGTTGGATGCTTCTGATTCCATGGGGTTGGGCCTTGAACATTTAAAGATGTGACCTTTTCAGATATGGTTTTTCCATAACAGTGTTCCTTCTCTTCATGTGATACTTTAATTTCTGCACTCCCTTATTAACTATTTACGGCCCTATTTCTGGCTAACATGAAAAAAAATCATAAACTGAGAAAAAAAAATGATTTGTTTCATTTTCTGAGTCCATTTTTTTGTCCCACATTTGACTTGACTACAAGTCCAGAACTTTCTTTGCAGTTTTAAGACGCGTTACTTTGGTTACTGCACCGAGGTGGCATTGGACAAAGCAATGGCTGAGAACACGGGGTTCAAGGTCAGTCAGCTGGTACTCTGGCTAGTCATACGGGGTCACGGTCAAGCCATAGAAGTAATCCTTCGCCACCACCGTGACTGCCACGTGTGCTCCAAGATGGCACAGGAGGTCTGTGTGTAACAGATAGGACTCTGATGACAGCTGTGGTTTTATTTCAAGATGGCTCTTCTGTGTGTTGAACATATATTTGAACGCCAGTGGTGAAATCCGGTGTCAGAGTGAGGTGCAGAGAGACAATCCGAACAGGGGTCATTATTAGAGGACAAAGCAGTTTTACCGTGAATTTAAATCATGAATGATTTACCGACTTTATGGTGTTGTGATTATAAATGTATGATTGTGATTTGTTTTAATGTAAGAACTACATGTACAATGTACCTCTATGCATCTTGTTCTTTATAACTACAGAGGGATCCTGGGAAAGCTTACTTAACACAGTGATAACAATCAAGATGGACAAGATTCTAATTTTCTAACATGTATCTCTTTTTTTTTTTTTTGTTAGTAATGGACACATCTTATGATGTGAGACACATTTGATATATTATAGCATTTTTTCTGCTAGATAGTCTGCATCATGGGCCATTGTTAGGATGCATCTGATTTACACATTTGATGTCAAACAAGTTAAAAGACCACATTTTTCAAAGTAGCTCAAGCAAATTGACAGGATTTTAAACAGCTGTTTGAGAGAATTTCCATTATCCATAGATACTAGGTACTAGTTTNAGTGTGACCTTGAAATTGACCTTTGACCTACCTTATTATGAACTCAACTTTAATTGTACCATTTTTAGTTATATATTTTTTTTGCATATTTTGAAAATTCTTGTTGATTGCATTTTTTACAGCTTGTCAAGCACAAGACTGGTCGCGCTTACTCCAGCTGGTGGTACATTATTCGGAGGCGGTATCGCCTCTCTGATCCTCTAGTTTAGTTAGATTTGAAAAATTATTTACTGCTGAAGGTTTCCTTTGGGTGATATGTTTGAATTCATTTAGTAATTGAAAGATAAAAAATTGACAAAGAATTAAATTTGGCTTCCTTCGATGGGAGTTACAGTAATTACATGTTAATTAAAATGATTCATGTGTTACCATATGTAAATTGTAAGACTTCTCATTTAAGATATTTCACATCATTTGTGGCAAGTCCACCTACATTTCTCTTTTTTATATGGGGGAGGGGGGGCTTATAGTAAGAGCATTATTTTAGGAAAGATGATTTTATTTCATTTATTGTGATTGATAGCCACACTTCAAAAAGAAAAGTTCAATTGTCGTAATTCTGTTTTGGGTGCATGGTTTTTCTTCCAGTAGTGGGTTTTCAGGATGTCCTAGTAGTACATGTATTTGACATTTATGCTTCTTATATTTTGTCCCAGTGCTTGTATTTATTTTTTTCTTATCATTGCCATTTGCCTCGTGTTTAATGTGTAGGGGATGGAATGACTTTCATTCTCCGTCACTGTAACAAGTATAAATATCTATAATGCTACTGGCATGTGCTTCATTAAACCAGACATCTTTAAATTATTACCAAAGTTTATGATGATTTGACAAAATGCTTAAAATAAATTTCCATAATCAGTGTGATGAGGTGAATATTTATAGATATTTATAGATAATATATTAGTCTTGCATCAGAGATTCCCTATACACTATTATATGATTATCCTTTTCCACCCTCTTTTATTGCAGGACTGACCAATGATGCCTGTCATGTAGAAGAAGATGGCACCCCTCATTCTGTAAATCCAATCTCCCAGAAGATAATTAATGTTTACAGCCCAAATGTGACTATCACCTCTGATAAAGTTGACCAGTTTACTGTGCAAAAAGTAGCGGACAGTCGTGTGCTATGCGACTCAGAAATAAATGTACAACCATCAGTTGAGGACAATTGCTGTGTTGATTTTACCTCAGGTGACCTTGACCTATCTGAAAAGGTTGAATGTGAGGACACAAGTGCTCTTTCAGCTATGACATCTTTACCGTCATTTTCCTTCGAAAAAGGTGAATTGAGTCATATTGAGACCCCACGGAAATCCTTAATGTATACTGGAGATGGAGAGGGTGATGGCAATTTCAGGTCTGATTCCACTGATGACTGGTCTCACCCAACTGATGACAGGACAAGCGCAAGTGACAAACCACACAAAAAGGAAGTCCCATACAACTTACAATCGCAGTTGTCCGACGATAGCACAAAATCCACAGAAAACGGAAGCAACAATAACAACAACAAAAAAGGTGGGATTAATATCAAGAAGGCGTCCAAAGTGAGAGCGAATCAAAAGACTGTGGTGTCAGGGAGCGTGAGCCCAGAAGACCATGCGTTTGTCTCTGGTTATAACTTTGGAGGCATTAACATAGAAGAAGCAGATGATGTGGAGGCAAACCAGGAGCTCCATCTGGTGGGAGATCAGAGCCCAACTGAGGGACATCCACCAGGGGGCAGCACTGTCAGGAAGCCTCCTGTTGGTGCAAGTTTATCTACAGTAGGTGAGTGAATGATTGTGATATCAAATCTTGTTTGAATTTTTTTTAAATAATAGCCTCATATTTATATTTTTCCATTACCTTTTTCAGCCAGCCAAAGTTTTAGTCACTCATTCTTTTTCTCACTTTTTCATTCAATTGTGCAATGTTCCATTCACCATATGCTTTTGAGCATTAAATTATGAAATGATGTGTGTTATGGTCTTGTTTATCAGACACCAGTACAGCTGCGGAGGGCCAGTCTGACTCTACTGTCCCCAAGTGTCCTCCTCCCACTGTTGGACCGTACTGTGGAGTAGCAATTCCCACAAGCCAAGTAAAAATTGGTAAGTAAGTGAAGAAACAAAGTTGCTGTTTAAGTGTTTGACCAGTAGTAGTCTCAGTTTTCTGTGTTTTTTCTTGAAGTGCATTGTGCCTTGAACTATTGTTACAGTAGTAAAATAAAGGAAATGGCTTAATCACTTAGCAGTATCCAGAATTGTAAGTTGACATGCAACAGTAAGGATTTTGTATGGATGAGAAATTAAGCTAAAACTCAGAGAAGAGAAATAGTATTTAAAAAATGTGATATAGTATCATCATAGATTTACTGTATTTTCAATGGGCATTTCTGTATTCTTTTGTTTTGATTTTTTTATCATCGTGTTTATGATTTTAAACAAATGGTTTATCTTCCTATCTAGGCTCAAGCACAAATCTAGCTATAGTAAAACTGCCAAGTCATTGTAATGATGGTCGCCAAGAAATTTTCATCTGGTACCACCTGGATTCAGCAACAGCTCTTTTCGGATCTCAGACCTACACCATCACCAGTGCCAGCCCAAAGGATTCAGGGAAATATCACTGGACAGTTTTGCTAAGTGATGGAAGTTTATTTCATGGACTGGTTGAAGTGACAGTCACAGGTGACAGCCTTGACCTTTGACCCAATAAAAAAACTCAGCCTTTGACTCTGGAACTTTCTAAGCTCCACCCACTGACCTTGACCTTTTTTAGATCCCATCCACTGACCTTGACCTCACGTATATAACCTTGCTAAACTAAATCCAGCAAACTGAGCCTCTTTCAACTATCTCAGGTTTTCTAGATTTGCTCTGTTTACCTTTTCAGCATGTTACTTAAAAAATATTGTTTTGGTAAAAAAATTATGATGTTATTCTAAATCCAGTAAGCATACATTGGAAACTTTATTTATTTATTTTTATATTTACTTGTTTGTTTGTTTAACATGCTTCAGGAGACCAGCATTCTGAGGACAACTTAATGCCGTCAAAGACAGCTGATGTCTCCATCCAGCCACTCACTGCCAATGGAGGACAGTATAGGCTGATAGAAGGTACTGGAAACAGCAGTTCATTATCATGTAGAGCCTGAAGTGGTCTAATGCTGGACAAAGGCCTTGGCAAAAATTAGTAACATGGTTCCTACTACTTGTAGAGTATTGTATGTATATCTGAAGCATTCACTTCAAACCTTTCAAATTCTTTATATACTTAAGAAGGTCTCTGTGGTAGAGATGCAGGACAAGTTTTGATGTTTCCCCCGAAATTTCACACATTTCTTAATTGTCAGGACATTGGCCAATATTGCAGCCTAGTTGAAGCATTCAATCCCAAAATAAACAAAAGTATAAAGTTAAAAACCATATTGTTTATTTTAGGCTCTTCTGGCAGCCTCCCCCAGCCTGGGCTGACCTTTGACTTCCTGCGTCTTGTCACAAACATGAATCCCCTCCTGGTCCCAGTCAACGGAATCAGGAACAGGACCCCTGGTCAGAATTGTGGTCAGCCAGGGGGCAGTACTAGTCAAGGCACAGCTAGTATACACCAAAAAAGTGGTAACTGGGACCTTAGTTTGCATGAAGGTGATCAGACTAAAGGACGCACAGATGGGAAGGACAAGTCAAGCTCTTATAGTTTGGACGCAGGGACACAGACTGAAGGTTTGGTGCCCAAGTGGGTCCACAGTGATAACAGTACTGGGTCAGAGTCCGCTGTAGGGGATCACTGCTTTCTACAGCTGGGAGACCCTTATCTCTCCTCTTTGTCGGACTTTGGTCAATGGTCATCTGCTGACCACTCCAGTTTAGACAGTGGATATGTCCAGCTGGCTGCTGGACGGGGCAGATGCAGCACCATGGAGACAAACTTTAGTAGCATGTGTCCGCCATCGTTGGTGACGTTATCTGACAGTTCGCAAAGCTCTTTTGTGAGCAGCGACTCTGTGTACAATAGTGGAAGTGAAAACAGCAGTAGCTATGGTAGCAGTCACTATGGAAACAGTCACCTTAGCAATGGTAGCCGTGACAGTGGAACTCAGACTGATTTATACAGTGATAGCCTGCAGCAGGATCAGACATTCAGAAAAGAGTTGATTAACTGTAGTGAGAACATGGGCAATCACAGTAATAATATTATTAGCAATGGGATTAGTAATATTGGACATGGGGAAGGATTGGCCATGGGTGCAAATGCTATAGAACTTGCAGATTTTCCCAAAGCAGAGGGTAGGATATGCTATTTTATGACACAGTATGATAAGATGTCAGTGTAAATGTATAGATATTGTGTACTTAAAATCAAATCTTTACCTAGTAATTTTGAAAAACTCAGTGATGCATTTAAATTATTACTTAATTTTTCAGATCTTTATTGTTATTTGTTTATATCAGAGTTTACAAAAAGTGGAAATGATAGATACAGTACAATTTTTTAGCTGGGAAATCTAACACAAAGTTGAGATTGAAAAAAGGAGTCTATGCCTAACAGTGGCCTGTCCCTCCTTATGTTAGGGTATACCTTGCGACATGGCTGTTTCTTGGCATTGTCAAAATTGATTCAGTGAAAAGAATTTAACAGTGGTTTTAAAATACAAGTAGTTATCACAAAGCTGACAAGGAAGTTAAAGAATTATGGTTGGTCACTGTTCATTTTCCTTATCTAAATTTGTGTATTTTCTTTTCTCACTGTCAGATTCCAACAGTTGCACCATGCTCCTCTCAGAGCTGATGGAATGCAGGGAATTCATGGATGATTTCTGTATCCTGATGGACCCAGACAAGAATTGGGAAGAAATGGCAGCCATTTTGTTCAGCTTGCCTCCACATGTACTGAAGTATATAGAGTGAGTGTCGTTGTTTGTAGGCAGGGGAGTTTTTGAAAAACCTCTATTTTGGTTGGAAAAGTTTTTTTTTTTGTATCAAAGTTTGTTCTGGGTTCTATATGCCATTTCTCAAATTGGGCCTATTAAAAGCTAAGAGAACAAGTTGACTTTTTTCAGTAAAGCCCCCCCCCCCCCCCCCCCGTGGAATTATTGGCTTTAGATCTATCAACCGGCTGCATCTAAGTCATATAAAAGGTGGATGCAGGTGGGGTTGGGCCTTGAACATTTAAAGATGTGACCTTTTCACATATGGTTTTTCCATTACAGTGCTCCTTCTCTTCATGTGATACTTTTATTTCTGCACTCCCTTATTAACTAATTTATGGCCCTAGTTCTGGCTTACACGAAAAAAAATCATAAACTGAGGAAAAAAAATGATTTGTTTCATTTTCTGAGTCCATTTTTTTTTTGTCCCACATTTGACTTGACTACAAGTCTAGGACTTTCTTTGCAGTTTTAAGACGCGTTACTTTGGTTACTGCACCGAGGTGGCATTGGACAAAGCAATGGCTGAGAACACAGGGTTCAAGGTCAGTCAGCTGATACTCTGGCTAGTCATACGGGGTCACGGTCAAGCCGTAGAAGTAATCCTTCGCCACCACCGTGACTGCCACGTGTGCTCCAAGATGGCACAGGAGGTCTCTGTGTAACAGAGAGGACTCTGATGACAGCTGTGGTTTTATTTCAAGATGGCTCTTCTGTGTGTTGAACATATATTTGAACGCGAGTGGTGACATCTGGTGTCAGAGTGAGGTGCAGGGAGACAATCCGAACAGGGGTCATTATTAGAGGACAAAGCAGTTTTACCGTGAATTTAAATCATGAATGATTTACCGACTTTATGGTGTTGTGATTATAAATGTATAATTGTGATTTGTTTTAATGTAAGAACTACATGTACAATGTACCTCTATGCATCTTGTTCTTTATAACTACAGAGGGATCCTGGGAAAGCTTACTTAACACAGTGATAACAATCAAGATGGACAAGATTCTTATTTTCTTACATGTATCTCTTTTTTTTTTTTTTTTGTTAGTAATGGACACATCTTATGATGTAAGACACATTTGATATGTTATAGCATTTTTTCTGCTAGATAGTCTACATCATGGGCCATTGTTAGGATGCATCTGATTTACACATTTGATGTCAAACAAGTTAAAAGACCACATTTTTCAAAGTAGCTCAAGCAAATTGACAGGATTTTAAACAGATGTTTAAGAGAATTTCCATTATCCATAGATACTAGGTACTAGTTTATTTCGATTTGGATTGGTAGTTTTTTCTTGATAAATAATACAGTTGGGCTGCAAAGTTAAAGATACTGCTGGTTTTTCTTAAAGATGTTTTGTAAAGAACACCATTGTAGCTTTGTGTGTGATATGTTACTGCTTTTAGTTAAGCATTCATATGGATACATTTGGCATTACAGTGGTTATTTGATATGGAATTATAGGTGAATGGTGGACTATGAACCATTAGTTGTTAGATAATACCTTTTTGTACATAGCACATTTTTATATGTATTTAATTCTGCTGGACCGTGTGTCGTAACAGTGTGCTTTTAATACACGTTACTTAAGTTCATAAACTCCTATTCCGTTTTTAAGGCCAGACTTTTCAAAAAAAAAAAAAAAAAAAACTTTAAAATGGCTGTTTAGGGCCTAAATCTACTTAAGGCATTGAAGTGATTTATGAAGTATTCCAGCGAAAAGAGGTACAACTTCAGATTGAGAATTGTCGAGACAGCAGTGTGATCGAAATCAATCCTTAGCAATGTATGAACACATATGCTTCAATGAGGTACAATGCATAGTTTGCACATGTATATGTGAATAAATGAGAATAATTGAAGTTGGATACATGTAATAAATCTACTGTCGAATAATTTGTGGAAGGTGTGGAAATAGAAGAACCATTAAAAGATTAAAATCCACCCTGGCTGAACGTTTGAATATTAATGCTAGTATTAAGTAATAAGAATCATGAAAATGTAAAATAAATCACGGAACGTATCATGAGGATGCTTGGTGAAGTTTTACGACGACTGAATTAAAAAAAATAGTGATCTTGGAAATGCATTTCGAAAGCGAGTTTTGAGTAATAGGATACGGTGAAATTGATGAAAGGTATCGAAAGAAAGATAAAAATTCCACTGCCTTGCTGACAACACTGGTTAGGATCTAGGTTGAATGAATGATTGGATATGCAATTTATAAGCTTTTAATTTTATAATTTTGAATATTCTGCTTTCATTTCCATAATTACTAGTAGCTGCGCAAGACTGAAAAATGCATCAATGTGTTAAGGTCATTAAAATTGTTCCATTTCTGTCGCCCAATACGCAGTTGTCAATTCTTTACTTGTGATGCTGTATTATGTATGTTGGAGAAACGATGCAAGTTTTAAAATTGCTTAAATGTCATTGAGAACATGAAATGTTCATATCGTGTGAAACGTTTTTGTGTAGGACTTTTCTACGGTGTATGAATAAAACTTCTCCAGGCAATGTCTAGGTAGTTTGTATTTTATGAAGTATTCTTGCTGGTGAGTCGGGAAGTAGGAAGTTGCAGGCTCAGAGTTTGTATTGACCGACGTGAATGACAATATAAAAGAATGAAAAATGAAAAATTATTATACTGGAGCCTTCTTATACTGAAACGGATATCACTTTTCAACCTTGTCACAAGGCCTTCAGTCAGGTGAACTGATTTAGAGTTGTGAAATAAATCGTGAAGACGAGTTTGTCTTATTAGGGAAATAATCGATATCATAAGGGAGGCGCGTTTACAGCTAACCATCAAAACAGCGGTTATTGCAATTATTCTGGAATCTCAGAAGAATATCACGAAGNCAAAACTAGCAGAGATGTTCCCGGTGTTGCCCCTAGGTTTTCTCTTTTGTCAGCATATATGCACCACTGACAACACATTTCAAGGAAAACCAATAGGCCTTTTGTCTAGAGAATCACATGAGTGATCAATGGTAGGAAAATGCAGGTCAATATAAAAATCTGCTTGATTGTACCATTTTTAGTTATATTTTTTTGCATATTTTGAGAACTTTTGTTGATTTCATTTTATAGAGCTTTTCAAGCACAAGACTGGTTTCCCTTTTTTGGGGGGGGGGAGGGTTTCCATACGAATGCGCTTACTCCAGCTGGTGGTACAATATTCGGAGGCGGTATCGCCTCTCTGATCCTCTAGTTTCGATTTGGATTGGTAGTTTTTTTTTTGATAAATAATACAGTTGGGCTGCAAAGTTAAAGATACTGCTGGTTTTTCTTTAAAGATGTTTTGTAAAGAACACCATTGTAGCTTTGTGTGTGATATGTTACTGCTTTTAGTTAAGCATTCATATGGATACATTTGGCATTACAGTTGTTATTTGATATGAAATTATAGGAGAATGGTGGACTGGGAACCATTAGTTGTTAGATAATACCTTTTTGTACATACAACATTTTTATATGTATTTAATTCTGCTGGCAGAAGATGAAAGTGAAGAAAAGATTGATCTCTGCATCATAGCAGTTACCATGTGGGTGGGGGGGAGGAGGTTATATCTTCACAAATATATGCCTATTTTGATATACTCAGTGATAATTAACTCGGGACCGTAGCCAGAGGGTGGTGGGGTGGGGGGGGGGGGTGAACGGGAAAAGGTCCAGTTTGGGTAATATTTGATTTAGGAACATGTGTACACAAAGGTTTCGTGCTTAAAGGTCCACTTTAGGACTCGTAGACGATAATTGCTGTATGCTATCATGAGCCTTAATAGATTTGGGAGCACGAATGCCCAAATTAATGACTAGGTCCACGAATTACGTACCCCAAGGTAAAATTTGTGGACACGAACTCGGTGTCAGAGCGGACCGTGTGTCGTAACAGTGTGCTTTTAATTCTACGTGACTTAAGTTCACAAACTCCTATTCCCTTTATAAGGCCAGACGTTTAAAAAAAAAACTTTAAAATGGCTGTTTAGGGCCTAAATCTACTTAAGGCATTGAAGTGATTTATGAAGTATTCCAGCGAAAAGAGGTCAACTTCAGATTGAGAATTGTCGAGACAGCAGTGTGATCGAAATCAGCCCTTAGCAATGTATGAACACATATGCTTCAATGAGGTACAATGCATAGTTTGCACATGTATATGTGAATAAATGAGAATAATTGAAGTTGGATACATGTAATAAATCCACTGTCGACTAATTTGTGGAAGGTGTGGAAATAGAAGAACCATTAAAAGATTAAAATCCACCCTGGCTGAACGTTTGAATATTAATGCTAGTATTAAGTAATAAGAATCATGAAAATGTAAAATAAATCACGGAACGTATCATGAGGATGCTTGGTGAAGTTTTACGACGACTGAATTTAAAAAAAATAGTGATCTAGGAAATGCATTTCGAAAGCGAGTTTTGGGTTAGAGGATACGGTGAAATTGATGAAAGGTATCGAAAGAGAGAGAAAAATTCCACTGCCTTGCTGACAACACTTGTTAGGATCTAGGTTGAATAGTTTATAAGCATTTAATTTTATAATTTTGAATATTCTGCTTTCATTTCCATAATTACTAGTAGTTACGCAAGGTCATTAAAATTGTTCCATTTCTGTCGCCCAGTACGCAGTTGTCAATTCTTTACTTGTGATGCTGTATTGTGTATGTTGGAGAACGACGCAAGTTTTAAAATTGCTTAAATGTCATTGAGAACATAAAATGTTCATATTGTGTGAAACGTTTTTGTGTAGGACTTTTCTACGGTATATGAATAAAACTTCTCCATGCAATGTCTAGGTTGTTTGTATTTTATGAAGTATTCTTGCTGGTGAGTCGGGAAGTAGGAAGTTGCAGGCTCAGAGTTTGTATTGACCGACGTGAATGACAATATAAAAGAATGAAAAATGAAAAATTATTATACTGGAGCCTTATTATACTGAAACGGATATCACTTTTCAACCTTGTCACAAGGCCTTCAGTCAGGTGAACTGATTTAGAGTTGTGAAATAAATCGTGAAGACGAGTTTGTCTTATTAGGGAAATGATCGATATCATAAGGGAGACGCTTTTACAGCTAACCATCAAAACAGCGGTTATTGCAATTATTCTGGAATCTCAGAAGAATATCACGAAGAGCCAAACTTTTTAGAAAAAAAAAACATGGACATGGACCCTTTGGTAAGTACAGGAAAATCGTCGTTTACCCCAGGAGAATTTGTTTTTTTACCAAAAAGAACACTTGCTATCCCTTTAAAACCAGCAGTAAAGATGCAGTTACAGTTAGCCTATTTAGTGAACTTTACATTGTACGTATAATACTTGTATACATATACTTACCTAGCTAGTCAACTTCTCCATATGGACCTTAAATTCTACTTTTGTAAATGCTTCCATGTTCTCATCATGCTCTCATCTATGCTGTCATCAGATTTCCCCGATCTTTCTTAGAAATAGAATCTTTCACGCCACTGTTATAACTTGAAACGGTCTTTCTTTTTTAAAAAAAAAGATTGTATATCGGTCCATGTCATTCCACCTCCGTTTACTGTCTTGCTCTTGCACTCGTCCCGAGGTGACCTCGCGTCCACATAGTCTATTTTCTCCACTGTTCTCACATTTTCGTCATGTTTTAAAGTGGACAGTCCACACATTGACCCATGTATTGTGCAAATAACGATCTCCGAAGGGAAAATGAAAATGAAAGTACGGGGAAAAATTTTCCATTCGATCATTAAGCGCCCAGAACTGATCTGGGGGATTTCCCTTGGACTATTTCCCCGATGACTTCCGAAGTGAGTTGTTTTTACAGGTACCTCTGACGAGGAATTCACGTGGTTTAACAATGGGGTTGACTTGTACAATCGTTTTAGTTTAAACTGAATTGTTACAAGGAGATCTATGATTGTTCTTGCAGTCTTACCGACCCCCCCCCCTCCCCCCTCCCCCCCGCCCACCCTACCTAGACTCAGCTTGAATTTATCTAGCAACTTATTAAATATCCACGGCTTTGACTTCTCTTATTGTTTGTCCCAATACCTTAATATAATTTACGCCTGTCGGATATTTTGGATTTTAAGACTCTCCCTCAAATGTATACTGTACGTCAGTGAGCTCAAGCCGAAAGGAAAATAGTCAATAACAGTGCTTTTTATTTCGTTAAAATGTCATCCATTTAATAATGGATGCACGTCACGATTTGACAACATAGGCATAACACGACGAGACAAACATAAACCCTTCTGCATGGTGGAGCTCAAGCTCTGTATATCATGATAAAAGGTGTGTAATGTTTTTTTTTTTTTTTTTTTTTTAAGTTTTAAGCGGAGAGCGCTAGCAACGGGGGTTGTCAATTACAGAAGTCAATGCTGCCTTATCTTAATTATAAAATAGAATTTAGTGTGAATATATTTATTACTGTGAAAATTTCTACTACGTGCAGGCAGCACGATTGAATGTAAATTCTGTTTTGCGACTTTGGAAATACCCATTGTGCTACTCCACAAATCGAGCCGAATAGCTGCACCCATAGTCTTTTCTGTATTCTCTTTTTTTATTGTATCTATAGGCAAGGTGATGGCAACAGGAGCAGATTTCAGCATGCGGCATATAAACTACTGTGGTCTGCAAGACGTAAAATATATCTTCATCACGCATTATTGTGGTTATGTTTGTCAGGCTCTCTCTCCTGCAAGAGAAGACAGCATGACAGGATAGGTGACATTGAATGCAAACGAATCTTATTAAATATACAGGCCCGTTGACTGGGGGATTCGGGGGGTTCGAAAGAACCGCCTTTTTGTCGGGAAAAGGCCCATTCTGGGTAAAATTTGACCCAAGTACACAAAGGTTCCATTGTAAAAGGTCAATTTTTTTCAGAAAAAGACCCCCCCCCCTTTTGAAATTGCTCGCTACGGACCTTGCTACGTATGTGCAAACCATAAAAGATTCGAAACTACAGCTTCTCCCGTAGCGATTTCATCATTTTAACCCTCTCTCTTGTTTTAAAACAAAACGCTCAGCTCATTTCAGTCAGCTCAGTGCGCTGTAACCCCAACGTAAGGTTAACAGTGGTCGTCTTCTTTTGTCAATACCTCATAGTTTTCAGTTTATTAACCTTCTGAAAATAAGATAACCTCCACCATGCTTCTGGTCATTGCCACGTCTGTTCTTCCATGTCTTCTACTGCTGTGTGGTGGTGTGGCGTCCTACCCGTCAGGGGCGTACATTCCGTCCGGCGCGTGCGACTCCATGCTACCCAGCCCAAACGCGGACTCAGGCCACGGAGCAGCGCAGCAGACCGGGTCCAACCCCTTTTCTTTGGTCCTAGGAGCGGCCAAGTACTCCCCCGGCCAGCCGTATAATGGTGAGTAGTTACCTTCAACAGGGACCACAGAGAAATCTGTACCCTTGATAGTCACGGTGTCTGACTGTTTACATTAGCTGTGCACATTTTTATTCTATGTCCAGCAATGATTTTGACACTTGAAGAGCGTCAATACCCTTTGGAGCTCTGGTAAAAAATAGTGGGCTAAGTACTAGAACTCTCAGTGAAATGCATTTTCAACAACCTCTTTGTATTTCAAACGAATTCAAATAACCTCTTCTCCTATAAACCCAAATTCTCAGTCTCGTCTGAAAAAGACGAGACTTGTCAGTTTGCAATAGTGAAATGATTCTATTACGGCTCTGTAAGCCGTCATATTTGGCAAGATGCAGTGCGATTTTTATGAGCAGTGTGGTGTTATGGGAAACCCCATCGTGCCTTCACTATTTAAATCTTTCGGGCTTAAAGGGGTAGAGTAGTATCGAAAATTCAGGAAGTGAAACTATTTGTGACCCGAGCATTAAAGATGAATGAAAAACTTATACAGAGCAGCCAGGATCTTTTTCGTAAATTTTTTTGTCATATTTTCAGTGATTTTCCGGTAGGTAGGCCTATATACTTTAAATATCGAAGTGTTGGAGGGAAATTCCAGTATTTTCTAGGTAGTTGTTTTGTTTCTCGCATTTTTACAGGACAGTAGATTTTTGATCTTCGTACGCGTTCTATGTTTGTTTGGAATCGTTGGTAGGTTACAAAATGACGTAAGATCAAAATGTTGGTCCTCTTCATTTCAGATTAAATTCCAAAATAAGGTAACTGTTGTCTAGCATTTCACCTATATCATGCTTCTTAGAAATCAGACGCAATATTATATATAAGCAGAGTGATTTATTTTATGCAAAATCAATCACATTTTTGTCTGAAAGTGACCTTTTCACACGGAAATTATCCCTGTAGGATATTTCTAAGCAAAAAGGAGCAGAACGGAAAAGATAAAATTGTATGACATCCCTAATTTTTAGAAGTTGTTGAATTTATCTCTGAGAAAAAAATTCCACATAACAATAACAACATCATAAATATTGGTATTATAAAAATTAGCTAGCTTTACCCGTTTTTGTTTACCTACGTGGCAAGAAACAACGTGTAACTTGCTTACAAACGCATTTTAATGTAAATATTATGTTTTCATTTAACTGTTCATTTCACTAATTTCAATGTCGCATACAGAACGTGTCTGCGTCTCCACTGGAAGGAAAAAGAAAGTTATAAGCATTGACACTTTCTAGAATAAACACAATTAAAAAAGCATCAAACGGCGGGGATCATCAGGACTCCATGACATGACACATTTTTATGCAAATAATTCAACCACAAAATTGTTGACTCACCTTGTGCTTTTAAACAGGTTCTTATGCCCGGACATTAACATGTAGTTCTAGATTAAAATTTATTATTGTCATTATCACAATATATATTTCTTGTTTAGCTCATTTAGTGCATTAACAGAAGGGTCTTTCCACAAAAACTTCATTTTTGTGCAGTGGCCCAGACACAACTTTCATGTCCAGTAGCAATAGGCCTACTGTGTTGACCGGCAACCCCCTCCCTGCACCTATGCTATCGAAATTACGTGCCTAAGACCTACACCAGTCTTAGACGATCCTTGTCTGAACACAGCGCTTAGTATGCGCACCTTTTTTTTTTTTTTGGCTTCGTAATGATGACGGTGTAGATTGGAAGCTGCACAGCATTTTAATTCAAATCAAAGCGTAATTTGCTTGTTGAAAAGATAAATGCGTGAATTCCACGGTACAGTTAATTGGTCCCGTTTCGTCTGCACACTAAAGTGCCACGAATTTTTAAATAAAGAAGCAATGAATAAAGATAATAGCGACCACAGGTCAATTTCTTACCTTTCCGTTTCCAACTTTCAGTTTCTCTAATTGGACCTAGTCACTATGAGGGGTTCATGATACAAGCCCGGTCTAACACCACAGGGAGCAGAGTTGGGACGTGGCAGACATCTACTCTGACGGTTCTGAATGAAAACTGCAGCGGTGCAGAAGGCAAAGCGCTGGTTCACAAGGCGACACTAGAGGGTACAGGGAACATGACTTTCACGTGGACAGCGCCGCCTGCAGGCACCGGATACGTTAAATTTTAGTAAGCACACGTAGGGATTATAAATCTCATTTTTTTGCAAAAAAGAAAATAAATAAATAAATAAATAAATAAATAAATAAATAAATAAATAAATAATTATTATTATAATGATCGAAATAACCCTTGATTGCGTTGACGGCACGTCCTGTAAATCGGCAATACCGTGCTCATCCGTCTAATTATTTAAAGAGAAAAACACATTTCTCGAAGAGTTTGTTTTTAAATATCAGCTAGGTGCATCATTTTTTTAAAATAAAAATGGCATTTCTGTCAACTCGTATTAGACAAAGGAAAATACAAAGAACAGTTTGAGTGTTTGATGCGGATGATAGGATTAAAAACAGACAGACAGACATCATAACATCCTTTGATTATTTTCAGTGCAACAGTGGTGCAAGAGAAGGAGGTGTTCTGGGCGAAGTTCCCAGGGCCGATGTTGGTGGGAGAGGTAGGCCTATGTAGACGATTCTCTTCTAAGAGAGGGATTGAGAGGAGGGAGAGAGACAATGTGGAAGAGAGAGAGAGAGAGAGAGAGAGAGAGAGAGAGAGAAAGAGATGGGGCGGGGAGAAATAAAGAGATAGAGATACGGTTGGAAAAGAGAGAGAGAGAGAGAGATGGAGCGGAGAGAAATAAAGAGACAGAGATACGGTTGGAAAAGAGAGAGAGAGGGCGAAAGAGAGAGAGATGGGGGTGGAGGGAGAGATAGAGAGAGACGTGGGGGTTTAGTGTATTGTTGCATAAGCTGAATTCTTATCCTTGCTGTGTTTCCTATATTTTAACTCTTCTTTAGTTATGTATTGTCATCTTATAGTTTTCTAACCAACTAATCAACATTTTTATTTATCTAGGATCCATGTCCGTAACTTGCCACAGTAGCTCAGGGGACCGCTGGCGCCAAGCGATCACAGGAGCATATACATATGAATTATTTTTCCATTAATTCAATAGCTTTAAAAAATAAATAATAATAATAATAATAATAATAATAATAATAATAATAATAATAATAAATACCAAACTATTTGCCCACATTAATATCCTAGCCATTTAACTATTGCTCTGCGACTCAAGCCCGCCCCCCCCCTCACCGCTGTCACAGAAGGGAATAAAGATACTAAATGCCACATCCCCCCGGATTTAAAAAAACTTTGAATGACTTTGAATGGTAGAAAAGATAAGTCGCTTGAAGACGTAGCCCAAGACTAACCCTGTTTTAATTAAAACATGCCCCCCAAACAAGCGTTTATGATAAAAATGGTGTTAAAATTTGGGATTATTCTACATTTTACACGTACATATCTCTATCATTAGTTATTTGATCACTTATCAAAGAAAGTGTGTGAAGAGAAATCATGTGAGATATAGCATTTTGGTTTGCTTAGGCCTTTGTGTTCAAGTACAGTAATTTCAACTAAAAGTCCTGGAGACTGGGATCGAATCTACCATTAAACAAACACACGCCACATGTATGTTGTACAATGTAGCAATAAGAACAATAATAATGATAATACACGAAACAAGTATTTTATTTGCGTTTTCAATTGCTGGTTTTGATAAAAATGTGGGTTTCTTATGATCTGTTTAAACACTGGCGTGCTTTCGTGGCTAGGAGTCCTACTCATTGGACACTGTTGACAGTCACTTTGTATGTGTTTTCCGCATCATTTGAAACCTCTGAGGTAAGCCTGCAGCTGGTTTCAATATAATTTGATTTTTGTTTTATCTGATTAAATGCCTTTGTCATCGTTTGCCAATATAATCGCCCATGTGCAAATCTATGTATCGAAGCATTGTGCAATTGCAACTAATTATTTTCTTAAAACAAAGCAAGTTCAAGTCATATTACAGTAAATAGTCTCACAACTTATGATACTTTTAAACAAAAAAAGAAAAACATCAAATCTTCCTTTAAGATAATTTACGCCACAGTAAACGGGACACTTTCGCTCTAAAGAATTTCTATGGTGTTTTTTATTTGGTCGACAGAAATGTACTTTTAATGACGACTGCGCATTAACATTAACATTACGTAAAAACATAAACGCTCTTGCGTGACGGAAGTTCACCCTAACTAACGACTGCGCCAAAGGATTCAGTATAATCCTATGTGGAAGAAGAGGGTGCAATGAGGGGAGGGGGGGTCAGTGATGGAGAATTGGGTGTGGTGGAATAAAAGTCATTTATTACAGGCGTCAGGTGTCCTTTTCAACTTCTGTGAAATGACTTTGATCAAAGCACTAAATGCTTTTGAAGAAATAGCCATAATCTAAACGTGCGCCGCGCACTTTAGTTGGCAAACCCTTTGGAGTAGACGAACAATTTCCGAATGAGATCAATGAAAAGAGAAAGCTTTTGATGCCCCGTTTGAGAGCAGCAAAAATGGGTTGGAAAGAAGGCTGTTTTGGTTGTGGATAAATTATTCATTGACGATCGTGAGTTTATCCCCCCGACATGCATCAGAGCACGGCACGTGGAACAAGTACTACTCAGCAGGATGTGATTCATGCCACGGGTCAACAACGCGCTCGCAGCCTGTCAGACCGTGCCGAGAGAGGAAGACGAGGGAGACCTCGCTAGACGAATTTGCAGTACACCCGTCACATGGAACATTGATAGCGCTAACAACTTGAAATGGCAGAAATTATCAGCGTAAACTGTCAAGGTATGGGGAGTTTTGAGAAGAGAAAAGACGTCTTTCAATATTTACGAAATTTGAAATGTAATATCCTCTGTTTACAGGATACACATTTTATTATGAAAAAAAAGCTCAGATAAGGAATGAATGGGGTTACGAAGCCTATTTCAGTTCTTATATTTCAAACGCCCGAGGCGTAGCAATTCTATTACAAAATAACATAAATTTTAAATTGCTACAGGAATTCAAGGACGAATCCGGGAATATACTTATTCTTACATTTGATCTTGATGATAAAATAGTAAAAGTTGCAAATATCTATGGTCCTAACACTGATAACCCCGCATTCTTTGATCGATGAAATAGACAGTGAATTCCAAATAATCTGTGGAGATTTTAACCTGCTTCTGAATCCAGATACTGATTACTATAATTATTCACGGATAAATAACCCAAAGGCAAGATTAAGTGTTTTAAATATGATAAAAGAAAACGGCTGTGATGACCCATATAGAGAACTATATGGCAATGTGTCTAATTTCACTTGGCGAAAAAGAAATCCAGTTAAACAACCCAGGCTGGATTTTTTTCTCACCTCAGATAATTTAGTTCCAAATTTGGTCTCAGTTAGCACCCTACTTAGTGATAGATCAGATCACTCACCAATTAAACTTCAAGTAAAATTTGACAGTTTAAGCAAGGAAGAGGACTTTGGAAATTTATTAATTCCCTTCTATGACATGACCTATGTCGAAAAAATTAATGAAGCCATACGAGATTTTAAAAATGAATATTGCATTCCTATATATAATCTTGAAAATATTGACAACATTCCTGACCAGGAATTGCAGTTTATGGTGAATTATCAGATGTTTCTAGAACTTTTGCTTTTACGTTTAAGAGGAACGACTATTTCGTATGCATGTTTTAAAAGAAAAAATTACAAGAGGTAGAAAAAGGGCTTATGAAAGAAATAGAACAATTAACAGAAGATTATGAAAATTCTGATGCCCGTCTTCAACTAGAATTTGAAAGGAAAAAACAACAGTTAGTTGAGATGAGAAGTGCAAGGTTAAAAGGTAGCATTATTAGATCGCGCGAGAAATGGTTAACTGATGGAGAAAAACCCAAAAAATATTTTTTCAGACTTGAAAAAAGAAGATTTACAGAAAAAATTATTCCCCGACTTCAGGTTGGTGAAAATGAATATATTACTAAACAGAATGAAATCTTAAAAGAAACAAAAAAGTTTTACGAAAAATTGTACTCAGAAAATACACAGTATGCTGATATTGACTGGCAAACAAATTAAAAAGATTTTAATGTACCAAAACTGACTACAGATGAGAGGGAAAGCCTAGAAGGCCCAATAACTAACGTTGAAGCCAAAATATTCCTCACTAAAATGAAAAATGATTTAAAGTCCAGGTTCGGACGGATTTACTGTGCAATTCTTAAAGTTTTTTTTTTTTTTTTTTTTTGGACGAAAGTAGGGACCTCTGTCATACGATCTTTAAATTATGGTCTTACACATGGGCAGCTCTCTGTCACCCAAAGGGAGGGAATCATAACATGCATCCTGAAGGAGGATAGACCAAAACAATTTCTAAAAAAATTGGCGCCCTATTACACTATTGAATACCGTTTACAAGATTGCCTCAGGTGTCGTACCAAGTAGAATAAAAACGATATTGGATAAATTGATAAGTAAAGAACAGACTGGTTTCTTAAATATAAAAGGGAGATACATAGGGGAAAATACTCGTTTAATCTACGATCTCATGCAATATACTGAGGAAAACCATATACCTGGAATATTACTTCTAATAGATTTTGAGAAAGCATTCGATAGTATATTTTGGAACTTTCTAAATCAAGTTCTTATCTTTTTTAATTTCGGTCTAGACATAATAAATTACATTAAAACTTTTTATAAAAATATTACTTCAAGAGTAAATCAAGGAGGTCATTTATCCGAAATGTTTTAACCACAGCGTGGCCTGAAACAAGGTGATCCGATATCACCATATTTATTTTTGATATGTTCTGAAATTCTTTCAGTAAGCAGAAAGAATAACCCTCAAATTAAAGGAATACAAATTGGGGAAAATGAATACAAGATATTGCAATATGCAGATGACACGTCCATAATCTTAGATGCTTCTGAACAGTCCCTTAACGCCTCCCTACAGGATCTAAGATGGTTTGAAAAAATTTCGGGTTTAAAAATGAATTATGACAAAACTCAGGTTATTTGGACAGGGAGTAAAAAAAAATTCAAAAGAGAAACTGTGCAATAATTGGACACTAATATGGGGTGCAACGTCTTTTAAATTATTAGGTTTTAAATTCTATGTTGAACTAGATTCTATATGTGAAAAGAATTATCGGGAAAAAATTGAAAATACTGAAAGATTACTAATTATGGGAAAGACGAATTTTGACCCCCGTCGGCAGAATTACAGTAATTAAAAGTCTCATGATATCGAAATTTAACCATCTTTTTATTTCACTGCCTAACCCATCTAACCAAATAATTAAGGAGCTAAAAAAGTTAATCTTTGGATTTCTTTGGAAAGGTAAGCCGGATAAAGTAAAAAGGGAAATATTATGTAAAAAAAAAAAAAAAAAGATGGAAAACTAAATATGATAAATGTAGAAGCTTCAATAATGGCATTAAAGGAGGTAGAAACTATATACCATATACTTTGGGATTGGGATATTGTACAAAATTTCTTACGCCAAGTAGAAGCATGGTTAATTTCCTGTAATATATATTTAAATTTCAGTAATATACCGTTTATTCTAATTGACAGTAATGAACGTAATGTATCCAATATAATCATGACTATACACATTAAATTTTTCATATACAAAACAAAATGTCAGAAAGACGCACTGTCACTCAAAAAAACTTTAACTTTATTTAGAAAATATATACAAAATCTATAAGAAAAAATACACTGTATCTCAAGATGTAGAAAAATTCAATGTTATATGGCAGAAATGCACAGTACACTTTTTTCATTCGTTTAATACGGAGTAAGGTAACATCTATACCGGTATCTGGTCTATAATTCAATCATGCTATTAGTCTCTAGTTCAATGTTTAATCATTTACTAAGACTTTGTAAGTACTGAAAAAAATATTGCCACCCTAGGATTTCTGTTCAACCTATAAGAAATACGGTGTGAACATTTGGGAAATAAGTCACAATAATTGTACTAGAAAAACATAACCTGCCACATTCTACAAAAGCACTAATATTTTAGAAGTCACCAGGGGCAGACACGTTTTTCCCCATCATAGTTTTTTTAAGATAGTGCTTTCAGTTAAGTATAATATGGAACTTAATCAAACAGCAGACATATATCTCAAATGCAGGTAAAAAATTGCAATTTCGTAAAGGACATGACAACGGCTGCTTTCTCAAATTGTCGTTGTTTTCATGACCATTGCTATGCCCTATATACAAATCAAAATCAAAGGAAATTTGATATAATTGTCTTATAACAGGGTATTTCAAGAAGTCATTTAGCCACACAAAGGGTACTAGTTATTTCAATAAGAACAATAAAATAAGTACATCGAGGACGGGAAATACGGAATTCATTGGCGACGCAATCGAAGTGGGACGCACAGCCTCTCTAACAAATGTGGGTGGGTCCCTCTGTTCCAATGACTCGAACGTTACAGCGTCTATGTCACCAGACTCTGCGTAGAGACTTTTGAATAATACTCCATTTAGTCTGAGAACAAACGCAGGACCAATTCCTTCGCCGTAGAACTCGTCTCCTCCAACGGGGTACAGCTTCCAGCGACCAAATGGACCGTAGAACATGCGGAGAAAGTTCTCCTCGTCCTTGTGAATGATTTCGATTTCGTCATACAGCGGCTCCTTAAATTTTCCTGTGTAACTCCTAAGAGGTCTATCCGCAGTCCCTGGCGTTCCTTTGGTAGGTTTTGTCGAGTTTGGAGGGTCCGCAAAAGGCTCAGGGAAGGAGCAAACTGAGGAGCTATTCAACCACGGACGTTCTCCAAGGAAAAGGTCCAAAATAAGCATCCCCAGCGCCTGCTTCTTTAGCCATGAACTAGGCATCGTGTTGAAGGTGTAATATATGCCAAGCCCTTTGGATGGAATGAGAACCAAATTTGAAGAGAATCCCCATGATAATCCAGTGTGGGTAACCATGGGATAACCTGAAATATTGATTAAAAGTTGGTTTTCTGAGAACGGTTGGTGCTTTCTTTCTTTCTCTCTCTCTCTCTCTCTCTCTCTTTTTTTTTTAAACTAAAACTCGCAATTTGCTCGTGGAGGCGATTGCTTTCTTTTAAAATCAAAACATCTTTTGTGATTGACAACCATGCATACAATTATTACCTCGGTAACTGCCAATCCTCCACCCGAATCCATAGTGGGAAACATTGAACGTGACTGGGATGATAGGAGTGGACAGATATTTGTCCAGTGAAGACGGGCAAGCAATATTCGGTCTGTACGTCTCCTCTAACGCATTCACCGACACAACCTGCGACTGATCATGAGCTTTGCCCGAGTTGAGGTGAAACAGCAGCCACTTTGCCATATCCACGGAGTTGCTCAAAATGGAACCAGAGGGAGAATTGCGGGCCCAGGATCTAATAATGAACGGATTAACATTATCGCAATAAGAACTTTCAACCAGATTGAATAAGATGTTGTCGAATTGTCAATTTGAAAAGGTGATGACAAAAAGTAGATCTGAATAAAAAGAAAAACAAGATCAAACTATTTGACGTTGAAACGGAAATTCCGAACACAAGCTATCGAAAACTATCAATAATAATAATAATAATAATAATAATAATAATAATAATAATAATTATTATTATTATTATTATCTGATATCAAACTCACTTTAAAAACTCTAAAGAGCCTATCCTCAATCCTCCGGGCCGTTCATCATCGTAATAGTGGGGAGATGCAATTGACAGTCCGTCTAACTTGGCGGTGGATATAAAAGTGGTGGTATCCATTCCCAGTGGAGAGAGAATGGTAGCTCTCACCGCCTCTTCCCAGCTCAGGCCAGTAAGTTGCTCCGTGATGAGACCGGCTAGCCCGTACATTTGATTGTTGTAAAAGTACTCCGCACGCAGCGGGGCTGAACTGTTGAAATACTTAAGCTTCCTGAAAAAAAAAAAAGCGGCCGCACTGTTAGTTCGCTATGGTCAGCTGCTATGACATAGGAAATAATGGGCCTATTGTCTGACAGTCACGACTGAAGGAGGAGAAAGCGGGACAAAATGTAGGCCTACTTTTCGCTTCAGTTGCCCCCTTAACCTACCAACAATCATGGTAGAAAATTGGGAAAGAGAACCCCCAATCCAACTGTAGATATACAGGATTACTAAAAACGTAAGCAGCTAGTGATACCATGATACACTAGTGTAAAGATCTCTGTCCTTTATTGTTACAAATTGAAAATCACAGTCATAGAACTCTATCGTTTCAATATCAAACATCTTCTTTACGTCATGGCATCAACGATAGGATAATTTTAGCAGAAACTATTACGGAGAATACGTTGCCGTTGATTAATTAATTTGTTTATTTATTCATTTATTTATTTATTTACGGTGCAATTGACTAGTACCTGACATTGCATGGTTCGCCATTACACGAAGGCAAAGATCGTTCAAAGAATTGGACTTCCCTAAGTAGCAATCTGATAGCTTCTATTATGTCTGTTATTTGCAACATTAATAAATAGCATTTAGTGACATTTCAGCTTAGGGACAGAGAAAGACAAAACATCCCAAAAGTCTAAACTTTTACGCACATGTTTTGGATTTGACAGATAAATCTTCAGTGTTAAATAACTAAATTTCATTGCATTTACACTAGTACATAGTGTCATATAACATATAGCCTTCCAAAAAAGGGACTGTGCTGCACTCATTACCAACAAGTGTACTGGCAGTTGAGTAGGTAGAGCCAATTGGGCTCTGCCAAAAATGTTTTGTATTTTTCTTACAAGTAGTCGTACTATATAACGATTTAACATAATTCATATTTATTTATATTTGCATTCCTATTGTACATTTTCATCTACCCATGTAGATGCATACGATACAATGAATAAAGTATATAAAGTATATAACAGCTGACGTTATAATTAATAGATTGTGATTCTGGGGAGAAGATCGCTAAAAAGTTTCTCAAGGTTTCTGCGCACCCACGAACACCATTTAAACGCCAATGTAACGACACCATTGAGTACTTCAGAACCTTAGCAGCAATTTTATTTAAAAGCCCGACTTCGCAATATATCGTTATAAAGGCAAAATAATCCCTTTTTCATTGAAACATTGTAACAGGGGCCCATAATTCCTTGACATAAACTTTGAAACCGGTTTCGGGGCAACCTCAATTTGACGGCACGGGGTTAAAGCCCATAATCCTATTGTCACCTATGCCATTTTCGTGATAAGATCTTGTTTAGGGATGTAGTTATGTCCCATGCCTATTGTTATCTCACCTCAAAATAGAAAGCTGTTTAAATGACGATAAACGCTCATGGGTGCAAATGCTTATATTATATTATATTATATTATATTATATTATATTATATTATATTATATTATATTATATTATATATGCTTAGCAACGGGAAATATATATGCCTATATTTTATATTTTTCGCGGGGACTTTTTTAATTGTTTTCAATCAGAAAAATGGTAGTTATCAGGCATTATTGAACAATTATATGCAGAGTAACCTCATTTTCTGTGTTTTGACGATCATTATACAGTCCCCAAGACTTACTCCCCAATGGTCTCCAGTGAGAAGTTGTTTTGGAGCCGTATTCTGTTGTAGTCGTTGAGACCCGTCCTGTGGCTTAGAATATCTCTGGCAGTCACTTGGGCCGTGAGATCCTCTCGTATAAACGTGAGATTTTTCAGTTCATCGAAAGATGTCAGTGGAGCATCTAAATCATACCTAAAATTTGAAACAAAAGGAATTTAGTTGCTTGTGTATACAGGTTATGTACTAGTTCCCAGATGATTCATTGTCACGTCTGAAAAATAGGCTTACAACAGTCACACAAATCCATAGTGATCTGGAATTCTGCTTTTTTACAGCCAACGTTTAAATGTTCTATAGATAACATAGGCCTATTTACAGCCAGAATGGCGAGTGATGAATATTGAAGGGGGGGGGGGGGGTATAAAGAGCCCCTCCCTTTTTTGCTGGGAAAAGGTCCACTCATGAAGGTTTCACGGTAAAAGGTCCACTTTTTCAGAAAAAGAACCCCCTTTTGAAATTTCTGGCTATGGGCCTATATTGATATGAGTGCAGACATGTAACTCTTGTTGGAGGCATGCAGGAGATTAATGGCAGTTAGTGGACTACACGCTAACCGACACGAGACTTTTACAGAGAGCATGATGNAACTCCGAGGACGCACGATCTCTAAGCACGCACGACGGGTTGTAAGAGAGGCTATACCAACGTTGTTTTGAAACGATGTGGTTAGCCTGTCAGTGGCAAGTTGGGGAGAAAAGAGCAGCACTGATAGCAAGGTACTGTGTACACGTGAACCGGCAAAGTTAATGATAATTTCATGTTGCAAAAGCATAATTAAATCAGTTAGTTATTATCCAAACGATATTATTTGAATAGCAGATACATAGATCAAACTAACAACAATAAAATATTTTGATGACATTGAAAATCAAAGCCTGCGGTGCACGATAGGTTGAGGAGGACATTGCCACAGCAAGTAATGCATGGATTTTGTTACATAACACCATATGCTTGTGTCGTCGTTAACTCTGTTGTATTATTACTGATCAAATTAATACCTGATATTATTTCTCAGGCTTCCAAGTACAAATCAACTTATTTTTGTGACTATTGACCTCCATGTCCCATCATGTGTGCAGGTTGTTTATCATTATTATCATTATTATTATTTGTTCAAGCACATTTTGATAAAGTGGCTATGCTTTAACATGAAAAATTCAAAACTTATGCTGAAGTTTAAAAGATTAAATCATCAGTAGTATTTACAATTAAAGCTATTTGATTATGTAGATTTGATTTTCAGTTATCTTGATTATGATATGAGGTTTCTGCCTTTTTCTCTTGCCCTCATTCAATATATAACAAGCAAATTGATAGTGCTTTATTACAATTTTTGCTTTATACTTTCAGATGTAAAAACTGTGTAGCAGTTGGTAAAGCTGTAGAGATTGATGTGAGCATAGATCAGGGGAAATGGTATTAGAGAAACTAGGAGGACAAGACATAGATAATGTACTAGTAGATCCATCATCACAGCAAGGGTACATGTAGATGGTGTGATCTTGTCCCTGAAGCTGTGCCACAAGTTTTCAACTGGTTGAGTCCTTACTAAGACAAGCTGCTGCGGTGTGAATCGCAATATGTACATTCAGGTTATACGTGGCAGATTTATGACAAAAGAGACCTTCACAATATACTTCAAAGGAGTTTTTCTGGCGTCTGTGCCTCATCAAAAGTACACAGTTACAGTGACTAGAACATTGTCTGCAAATAGTGAGGCAGTGAAGGCTGCAAGGTGCCATTGTTTTTCAGTATTAAGAATGACAGTATCTGTTTTTTTATTTATTTTTTTTTATTCATTTTTAATGGGAGGGAGACTCACTTTGTTCTTTCTATGCCCATTCAGTTACAGTAAGGGTTGGTGGCAATATATGGTAAATCTGTCATGCCTGTATGTAGAATTTCTCTTGCTCAAATTTCTACATTTATTGAGTGCATTATGAAGTTTCCTGACTGATTAATGAGGTTACTTGTAGAAATATCTTGCCTACACACATTTTGTGATATTTTTACTACTTTATACATATAATTATTAACATTTCATCAGTGGTGTGTGAAAGGTACTTGGTATTTGCATTTTAGAACTGTAGATCTGTGTACCAGCAGGGTTATATTGCAGTAATATCTGTTTATGTTTCTAAAAATAAGCTTCATGTTTGATAATTAATTGGTTTGAAATAAATAAATAAATAACCCAAACAAAATCAATTCATTTTATATTTCACATAATCTGTTTTTATTATTTCTTCTAAGCATTTAATCATAACATCTCCCATCATTATAGTGTTATTGTGTAATAACATTGAAAGGTTCCAAAATTTTATTAACAGGTTGATGCTAACGTATTACAAATAAATATAAGCATCAAAGCATATTTCCTTCCTCAAATATATCACACGTACCACTGGCATAATACCGGTAGAGATACAGGTAAAGATGACAGCCTTGATAACTGGGTTCACAGCTCTGTTAGTGCAGCACGGTTAATTAGTGTCAGATTGTTATCCGATAAAGTTTGCTACTAGTACCTGGGAACAAAAGGTCTGGCACTTGCCAATCAAGTTGATAAAATCACAAACCCTGTAGAAAATAGAGCATACCTGCCCAACATTGATTTGTTCAGATTCTTGACTAAGGGGTGCGTTACTGGTGACAAGGGCCAAGACTTGAACTTAGGGGGTTTGGTATGTCACTGGACATTCCTCTCGATTTCTGCCCAAATCTAATAAAGCCTGAGTTGATTGCCGTAAATATCAAATTTGTGAACAGAATGAGGAATAATGACAGTAATGATAAAATGCTTGAAAGTACCTGTCACCTTCGCCACAGTAACTATATGGGCTGTGCCCCCCCCCCCCCCACACACAACCACAGGCGACACCTTGCGGAGCAAGCGCGCGTAATCCAGGGTGCAACTGAAAATAACCTTGTCGCGCGACCCGTGTATGGATTTGATGACCTTCGGTGTGGGTTTTTCTACTTTCTGGCCATCTTTTACTTCTGTGAAAATCACTATGGAAACTAAGTTTTGAAGGGGTGCATGTTCTTAATTTGGATAAATAGTATAAAATATGGAAATCTTCATCAGTATTTTGAATTTTTTAACCCTTAGTCATGTTAAATATCTAACGTACCTTAACCTATTAATAATATAGCTTTTAAAACAGAAGTTAATTCGTTGACGAAAATAAATTCACTGGAATTCAGAACAATTATAAATTAAAGTGAAAGTCATTTTAGCAGGTTCACAACAGTGGATACCGATGCTGCTCAGTCCCTCGAGATCTCCCTCTCCCCCCTGCCCCCTCCCTCACCACCTTCTCTCTCTCTCTCTCTCTCTCTCTCTCTCACACACACACACACACACTGACTTACCCTTTATCTTCCATTACCTTTACCAAAGTTGTGGCAGCAAACGCTTTTGTTAAGGAAGCGATATTAAACAGCGTGTTATTGGACACGGGTTGATTGCTTTCTCTGTCCATCACTCCATAACTTTTTGCTATGACACTTTGCCCGCCTTGTACGACGGCGAGTGTTAGTGCAGGGGCGTTGAAACAAGCCATAGATGCGTTGATCAGATCGTCGATCCTCTCCTCCATTCTGGTCGCTAAGCCATAGCATATGCACGATAAAACAAGACTGAGTAAGATGATGATATGCATAGCGGTTGTATGTTCTTTTGGATCTGCCCTGATGAGTGTGGACCAGACGTGCAGACTGAGTAAGATAAAGCGTCAATAAGGGTTACCGGAGGAGATCAGCATTGGTCTGAATTGTGCCGGAAGTGACGTGTAGTGGTGTAAGACGTAAAGCTGAGATGTTATTTTTAGCTGGAGGTGAATGGGAATGAAGACGTGGGCTTGGAGAAAAAAGTAGTTATTCTAACAACAAGGTAAGATAACATTTTATCTTTATGCATTTGGGACAGAGAATACTTGTAGAAACAATAGGCACATGATATGAAAACGTGTCACGGAACTTGAAAGTGTAAAATTGTGCTAAATTTGCAGTCAATTTGTTTTGAAATACATGCTGCATCGACCGCCAGCGCGACAAAGAACGTAAAGGGAAAAGAATTCCCGGAAGGCTATAAATCTTTGTCATGTGGAATTTTGGAATTTATATAATCTGATATGTCCATATCTAAGTATGGGGGTATGGTATGGGCTGCAATTATAACGATGTTTTATGGTCTCTGAAGGACCATGTGAAAACCAGGAAGTAGTTCGTAACTGACAACTGAGTCGTACAGATCCACAACTGCAAATATGAGGAAATTGATTGCCAGTCTCTATTGCTAGTGATTTTTAGCTCAGTTAACAGGTTGTCAGAATGTCACCTTTGTCTTGGCATTTGTCACTGATTAGTGCCTACCCCGATGTAAAAGGTGTAAAAGTGTGATCATATGTGTGGAATTTCATGTCAGATGAACATATAAAGATCTAAAAATTCGTCACAATATCAAAAAAGATACCTGTACTTCTTTGCACAGCAGTCGTAGATCGGTACGAATCAGTTGTTAGTTACGAACTACTTCCTGGTTTTCACAAGGTCCTTCAAGAACTCTAATATATCATTATAATTGCAACACATACCATAAAACACCCAAAAATACTTAGATATGGACATATCAGATTATATAAATGTCAAAATTCTACATGACAGACAACGATTTATAGCCTCCCTGGAATTCCTTTCCTTTTACGCTCTTTGTCTCGCTGGCGGTCGATGCAGCATTATTTCAAAACAAGTTGTCTGCAAATTAAGCACTATTTTGCACCTTCAAGTTCCCTGTAACGATTTCATACCATGTGCCTATTTTTTCTACAAGTATTCTCTGCCCAAAATGAGTAAAGAAGAAATGTTATCTTACCATGTTGTCAGAAAAACTGCTTTTTTCTCCAAGCCCACGTCTTCTCTCCCGTTCACCTCCAGCTAAAAATGACCACTCAGCTTCGCGTCTTACACCACTTGACGTCACATTTCCGGCACAATTCTGACCAATGCTGATCTCCTCCGGTACCCCTTATATAAGGTTGTAAAGGTCGTGCTTCGGTCAGGCGGCACAGCCTGAAAGTTGTTTACCAAACAGCCCTTAGCAAAATGATAAATTGCGGCAATAATGCTGCAAAGTAAAATATCGCAGCAACGACTTTGCAAGGTTTTGAAAGAAAAATTTTACTCCTGCTAATTTGCAGCCATGTTGCAGCCATGTTGCTGATATTTTGATAAGGGAGAGATCGCGAACGAGCTGGGGTGCCTTCTCCTATTTGCTTTCGGTGTTTGCATTTTTTATCTGTAGATGGCCATGTAGTTACATATTTCAGGCAGTTAATGATAACAATTTAAGTAGGTTTAATGTTAATACCTCCAATGCCTACAACCTATGCTATAAATAGAGGTCCTGTTAAGTTGAAAAATACGGAAAATTTAGTACGCATACCTTTCATCATATAAATGAATATTTTTACAGTATATTTTAGTTGCATGTTGGGACACATTGTTATCTGCTAAATATGCATGAATATCTTCCATCATTGTTCCACAGTACATTGTACATAATAACAGAATTAATTATAGTTTAAATACCATATCCGACATGTAGGCCTACAATAGCCTATTGTTTACCTTTCAGCCTTTTTGTGTTATGTTGACAACCACCTGTAATCTCAAACACGATTCTTTACTTCAGAATACTCATAACTGTTCCATGATAATATTAAAAACAATAATCTGATGGTCATTTCAATTTCAATAAACAACTCCTGTTTGGGCCTGACATTATTTAAGTCATCCTATCCGGGATTTTCCGGTAAAAAACTAATTTCTTCAAAATTCTTTTCTCCTACTCACAAACCATTTCTCAAACCGCCCCTTCATAAAATTCGTTGTTTTATATCAATGCTTAGTGCACGATTTAATTAATTCTAAATGATTGTCCATTCACCATGAAAATTATCGACATTTGGGTACATGTAGGCCCTACTTTTATTTGAAGTGTTTTATCATTTTTAAGGACTGAATTAATTTAGGTCACATAGGGCAGGTAAGGAGCTTTGCAGGAGAGTGCACCTTTGGGAGATTTTTCATTTGAAGCGAAGCACATGGCACACGATTTTGATGACTGACTCACCTCCCTCAAATAGTGCAGACCTTTAAAACTCAAATAAAGTAGGACCATACCTGACGTCGTTAGTTCCTTCGGAAATATAGGCCTACAAGAAGGCATGGCGTTCTAAATGAATAGCTTTTGTTATTAAGTCTCTGCTTAAAAGAATAAAATAACTCTCTTTTATAATCCTATCTAGAAATCATGAAAACTCTTCACCTGCGACCCTGTCCCTACTGCAATGTATGGATATTGGACCATGTATCTTAATTCATGGGCCCAAACATCAATTCAATTAGAAATCGTTTAATAGGTTTCTACATTTCCAAAGAATACAAGTTTCTCGTCAAGTTAGTCGTGAAAGAAATGTGATAAGAATCCCAAAGAAAATATACACACAATCTATATTTTCCATCAAAGACACTTTTAACTACTTATAACTTTAACTGGCGTCCACAGTTTTGTCCATTACAATCCAAAACGAGGTCCATGGTTGGAGGGTTTTTAACTCTCGTTACTCAGATCACACAGTAAATTTGTACAAAGACCAAGCAATAATAATATATATTTTTCTAAAAAAATCATTTTATAATAATAATCATAATAGATGGTTCTGAACAGTCCCTTAACGCCTCCCTACAGGATCTAAGATGGTATGAAAAAATTTCGGATTTAAGAATAAATTATGACAAAACTCAGGTTATTTGGATAGGGAGTAAAAAAATTCAAATGAGAAACTGTGCAATAATTGGACACTTATATGGGATGCAACGTCTTTTAAATTATTAGGTTTTAAATTCCATGTTGAACTAGATACTATATGTGAAAAGAATTATCGGTAAAAAATTGAAAGTACTGAACAATTACTTAAACTATGGGAAAGACGAATTTTGACCCCCTAGGCAGAATTACAGTAATTAAAAGTCTCATGATATCGAAATTTAACCTTTTTTTCATTTCACTGCCTAACTCATCTAACCAAATAATTAAGGAGCTAAAAAAGTTAATCTTTGGATTTCTTTGGAAAGGTAAGCCGGATAAAGTAAAAAGGGAAATATTATGTAAAAAAAAAAAAAAAAAAAAGATGGAAAACTAAATATGATAAATGTAGAAGCTTCAATAATGGCATTAAAGGAGGTAGAAACTATATACCATATACTTTGGGATTGTGATATTGTACAAAATTTCTTACGCCAAATAGAAGCATGGTTAATTTCTTGTGATATATATTTAAATTTCAGCAATATACCGTTTATTCTAATTGACATTAATGAACGTAATGTATCCAATATAATTATGACTATACACATTAAATTTTTCACATACAAAACAAAATGTCAGAAAGACGCACTGTCACTCACAAAACTTCAACTTTATTTAGAAAATATTTACAAAATCTATAAGCAAAAGTACATACACTGTATCTCAAGATGTAGAAAAATTCAATGTTATATGGCAGAAATGGATAGGTATATATGGATTTGTGTAGTTGCATGTATACAAGTTATTGACTGTAATTTTTTTATATGTTAAAACCTTGTGGACTTTGCTATTGTAATGAGTATTGTGTGCTTGTAAAGTTTATTATGTACTTGCTTTTTTTTCTATTGCAAAAAATTTTAAAATAATAATAATAATAATAATCTAAACTTGTATTTCTTTGGCCACGTCTTCAACTTGCTCTTGAACTGAGTACTTTCGACATAGGAAATACTCAGGAAAAAACGAAAACATGTTCCAAAAAAAATATGCAGAAATATTAACTTTACAAAACTGGAAACCTCGTTTTACATGTTTTAAAGCAGCGGTATTCAGAGTAACAAAAGAATTTTTATCCACACCATTACTTCTCTTTAAAGAAATATGCACGTTTAAGCACAGTACACTTTTTTCATTCGTTACGGAGTAAGGTAACATCTATATCTGGTCTATAATTCAATCATGCTAGAAGTCTCTAGTTCAATGTTTAATCATTTACTAAGACTTTGTTACTGTACTGAAAAAAATATTGCCACCCTCTGATTTATGTTCAACCTATAAGAAATACGATGTGAACATTTCGGAAATAAGTCACAATAATTGTACTAGAAAAACATAACCTGCGACATTCTACGAAAGCACTAATGGTTTAGAAGTCACCAGGGGCAGACACGTTTTTCCCCATCATAGATTTTTTTAAGATAGTGCTTTCAGTTAAGAATGATATGGAACTAAATCAAACAGCAGACATATATCTCAAATACAGGTAAAAAATTGCAATTTCTTTAAGGACATGGCAACGGCTGCTTTCTCAAATTGTCGTTGTTTTCATGACCATTGCTATGCCTTATATACAAATCAAAATAAAAGGAAATTTGATATAATTGTCTTATAACAGGGTATTTCAAGAATTCACAAAGGGTACTAGTTATTTCAATAAGAACAATAAAATAAGTACATCGAGGACGGGAAATACCGAATTCATTCGCGACGCAATCGAAGTGGGACGCACCGCCTCTCTAACAAATATGGGTGGGTCCCTCCGTTCCAATGACTCGAACGTTACAGCGTCTATGTCACCAGACTCTGCGTAGAGACTTTTGAATAATACTCCATTTAGTCTGAGAACAAACGCAGGACCAATTCCTTCGCCGTAGAACTCGTCTCCTCCAACGGGGTACAGCTTCCAGCGACCAAATGGACCGTAGAACATGCGGAGAAAGTTCTCCTCGTCCTTGTGAATGACTTCGATTTCGTCATACAGCGGCTCCTTAAATTTTCCTGTGTAACTCCTAAGAGGTCTATCCGAAGTCCCTGGCGTTGCTTTGGTAGGTTTTGTCGAGTTTGGAGGGTCCGCAAAAGGTGCAGGGAAGGAGCAAACTGAGGAGCTATTCAACCACGGACGTTCTCCAAGGAAAAGGTCCAAAATAAGCATCCCCAGCGCCTGCTTCTTTAGCCGTGAACTAGGCATCGTGTTGAAGGTGTAATATATGCCAAGCCCTTTGGATGGAATGAAAACCAAATTTGAAGAGAATCCCCATGATAATCCAGTGTGAGTTACCATGGGATAACCTGAAATGTTGAGTAAAAGTTGGTTTTCTGAGAACGGTTGGCGCTTTCTCTCTCTCTCTCTCTCTTTATTTTTTTAAAACTAAAACTCACAATTTGCTCGTGTAGGCGATTGCTTTCTTTTAAAATCAAAACATCTTTTGTGATTGACAACCATGCATACAATTATTACCTCGGTAACTGCCAATCCTCCACCCGAATCCATAGTGGGAAATATTGAACGTGACTGGGATGATAGGAGTGGACAGATATTTGTCCAGTGAAGACGGGCACGCAATATTCGGTCTGTACGTCTCCTCTAACGCATTCACCGGCATAACCTGCGACTGATCATGAGCTTTGCCCGAGTTTAGGTGAAACAGCAGCCACTTTGCCATATCCACGGAGTTGCTCAAAATGGAACCAGAGGGAGAATTGCGGGCCCAGGATCTAATAATGAACGGATTAACATTATCGCAATAAGAACTTTCAACCAGATTAAATAAGATGTTGTCGAACGTGTGTACGACCACATCCCCATTAAATGAATTGTCAATTTGAAAAGGTGATAACAAAATGTTAAGAACTGAATAAAAAGAAAAACAAGATCAAACTATTTGATGTTGAAACGGAAATTCCGCACACACGCTATCAATAATAATAATAATAATAATTATTATTATTATTATTATTATTATTATTATTATTATTATCTGATACTAAACCCACTTTAAAAACTCCAAAGAGCCTATCCTTAATCCTCCGGGCCGTTCATCATCGTAATAGTGGGGAGATGCAATTGACAGTCCATCTAACTTGGCGGTGGATATGAAAGTGGTGGTCTCCATTCCCAGTGGAGAGAGAATGGTGGCTCTCACCGCCTCTTCCCAGCTCAGGCCAGTAAGTCGCTCCGTGATGAGACCGGCTAGCCCGTACATTTGATTGTTGTATAAGTACTTCGCACGCAGCGGGGCTGAACTTTTGAAATACTTAAGCTTCCTGAAAAAAAAAAAAAAAAAAAAACAGCCGTATTGTAATATCACTATGGTCAGCTTCATTATGGGACCATTCCCACAGATATTTGGATCGATCTATGTCCCTGGGGAGTCTCACAAAATTGACCTATCAACAATCATGTTAGAAAATTGGGAAAGAGAGCATCCGATCCAACTGTGGACAGGATTACTAAAACGTAAGCAGCTAGAGATACCATGATACACTAGTGTAAGGATCTCTGTCCTTTATTGTTACAAATTGAAAATCACAGTCACAGAACTCTATGGTTTCAACATCAAACATCTTTACGTCATGGCATCAACGATAGGATAATTTTAGCAGAAGATTTCCCCAAGATGCTATCTGACAGCTTCTATTGTGTCTGCTATTTGCAACAAGAATAAATGGCATTTAGTGACATTTCAGCTTAGGAACAGGGAAAGACAAAACATCCCAAAAGTCTAAACTTTTACGCACATATTTTGGATAAAAGATAAATCTTCAGTGTTAAGTGACTTTGGCTGAGTTCACATGAAAAATCTATTTTCTAAAAATCTAAAAATCTATTTGCGGTACATTGTGATCACGGTCTGTGCCCTGAATACCCCGCGGCGTAATTACTGGCAGCGCCGAGAATTAATTACAGCTTTGGAAGTAACTGGCTCTCGCTGCCCGTAATTACGCCGTGGGGTATTCAGGGCACAGACTGTGATCACAAGAAACCGCAAATAGATTTTTAGATTTTTAGAAAATAGATTTTTCATGTGAACGCAGCCTTAATTTCATTGCATTTACACCAGTGTCGTATAACAGCTGACGTTATAATTAATATATTGTGATTTTGGGGAGAAGATCGCAAAAACTGGTTTCTCAAATCTCTTTTACCTGCGCACCTACGAACACCATTTAAACGCCAATGTAACGACACCATTGAGTACTTCAGAACCTTAGCAGCAATTTTATTTAAAAGCCTGACTTCACAATATATCGTTAAAAAGGCAACATAATCCCTTTCCATTGAACCATTGTGGGGTCCATAATTCCTTGACATAAACATTGAAAACGGTTTCGGAGCAACCTCAATTTGACGGCACAGGGTTAAAGCCCATAATCCTATTGTCACCTATGCCATTTTCGTGATAAGATCTGGTTTAGGGATGTAGTTACGTCCCATGCCTGTTGTCATCTCACCTCAAAACAGAAAGCTGTTTAAATGACGATAAACGCTCATGGGTGCAAATGCTTATATGCTTAGCAACTGGAAATATAAATGTCTATATTTTATAATTTCGCGGGGACTTTTTTAATTGCTTTCAATCAGAAAAATGGTAGATATAATTCATTACTGAACAATTATATGCAGAATAACCTCATTTTCTGTGTTTTGACGATCATTATACAGTCCCCAAGACTTACTCCCCAATGGTCTCCAGTGAGAAGTTGTTTTGGAGACGTATTCTGTTGTAGCCGTTGAGACCCGTCCTGTGGCTTAGAATATCTCTGACAGTCACTCGGGCCGTGAGATCCTCTCGTATAAACGTCAGATTTTTCAGTTCATCGAAAGATGTCAGCGGAGCATCTAAATCATACCTAAAATTTGAAACAAAAGGAATTTAGTTGCTTGAGTATACAGGTTACGTACTAGTTTTAAGATGATTCATTGTCACGTCTGAAATGTAGGCTTACAATAGTCACCAAAATCCATAGTGATCTGGAATTCTGCTTTTTTTACAGCCAACGTTCAAATGTTCTTTAGATAACATAGGCCTATTTACAGCCTGAATGTCGTGTGATGAATATTGAAGGGGGGGTATAAAGACCCTTTTTTTGCTGGGAAAAGGCCCACTCTGGGTAAAATTTTATCTACATGTAGGTACATGAAGGTTTCATGGTAAAAGGTCCACTTTTTCAGAAAAAGAACCCCCTTTTGAAATTGCTGGCTATGGGCCTATGTTGATATGAGTGCAGACATGTAACTCTTGTTGGAGGCGTGCAGGAGATTAATGGCAGTTAGTGGACTACACGCTAACAGACACGAGACTTTTAAAGAGAGCATGATGCTATTGTGTATGTATTTGATGACATTCGGTGTGGGTTTTCTACTTTCTGGCCATCTTTTACTTCTGTGGAAATCACTATGGAAACTTAGTTTTGAAGGGGTGCATGTTCTTAATTTGGATAAATAGTATAAAATATGGAAATCTTCATCAGTATTTTGGATTTTGTTAACCCTCAGTCATGTTAAATATCTAACGTACCTAATTAACTTTATTAATAATATAGCTTTTAAAACAGAAGTTAATTCGTTGATGAAAATAAATTCACTGGAATTCAGAACAANCTTGATGGTGCGACATGGTGTCCTGGTGGAGACGAAAGGACGAAGAGCTGTCCTAGTTAATAACACGATGAATATTACTGATTGGATTATCAGTGAAACGACTGCGGTAAGTACGCTTCATGCCCCCCTCCACCCCCAAGGAACCCACCTGCTTGTCTCTACATGTGACTGTCTGTCTTTGTATCTGTCTGTCTGTCTGTCTGTCTGCCTACCTGTCTGCTTATAGTACCTGCCTGTCTGTCCGCATCTCTCTCTCTTTCTCTCTCTCTCTCACACACACACACACACACACACACACACACACACACACACAGACTTACCCTTTATCTTCCATTACCTTTACCAAAGTTGTGGCAGCAAACGCTTTTGTTAAGGAGGCGATATTAAACAGCGTGCTATTTGACACGGGTTGATTGCTTTCTCTGTCCATCACTCCATAACTTTTTGCTATGACACTTTGCCCGCCTTGTACGACGGCGAGTGTTAGTGCAGGGGCGTTGAAACAAGCCATCGTTGCGTTGATCAGATCGTCGATCCTCTCCTCCATTCTGGTCGCTAAGCCATAGCATATGCACGATAAAACAAGACTGAGTAAGATGATGATATGCATAGCACTTGTACATGTACGTTCTTTTGGATCTGCCCTGATGAGAGTGGACTAGACGCAGGGGCGGATACAGAGCTATTTTCTGACAGTCTTCCAAGTTATCTTTGTTGATCCATCCTCCATTTTGACCGTCTTCCGACAGATAAAAAATTAGATACCCGTCAAGGTAAACTTGAAAATCTGACCGTCTTCTGGAAGACCCAGAAGACGGCCTAAATCCGCCCCTGAGACGTGCAGACTGAGTAAGATAAAGCGTCGATGCAAAGGTCATGCTGCGGTCAGGCGGTGCAGCCTGAAAGTTGCTTACCAAACAAACCTTGGCAAAATGAAAGGTTTGCAGCAACGACTTTGCAAGAGTTGAAAAGTAAAAAAATAATTCTGCTAATTTGCTGCAAATTCACTGCAAATTTGCAGCAGACCTGATATTTTGCTTAGGGAAGAGATCGCGAACGAGCTGGGTTGACTTCTACTATGTTCATTTGCTTTTCGTGTTTGCATTCTCTATCCGTAGATAGCCATGTAGTTACATATTTCAAGCAGTTAATGATAACAATTTAAGTAGGTTTAATGATAATGCCTTCAATGCCTATGCTATAAATAGCTAGAAATCCTGTCAAGTTGAGAAATACAGATAATTCTGAATGCATTCCTCGCAATGAACTAGACCTTTAGCTGGCTGCCAATCTTCGACAACTGTAAGCCAATCAGGACAATCAGCGTGCTGTATCTTTTCTAAGTGCCTCAAGTCCTGTCATTAGACATAGCTGTTATTCTGTTATTGGGTATAATTTTTCAACTAGCAAAAAACACGCCTCGGATAAATCTCATTGGCTATGGTACCGCCGCTGCGCGAAAGAAATGGGCTCAAAAACCTAGTTGCCTGTTAAGGTAGTGGTTTTCACGAACGCGAGGTTTTTGGGAAAAATGCCATAGAAGGTTTTTCTCTGGATCTTGAAACTCGACCCGATCTTAGTAAAAATGATGAAAAGGGTCACTTTGAAGATTCTGCAAAAGACAGTATATTTCCTGAACATTTATCAAGCGCGCATGCTGATCTATTTCCCAAAAACGTATCGTGATCCGTATATGAATTTCATCATATAAATAAAGATTTTTATATTTTAGTTGCATTGTTGGAACACATTATAATCTGTTAATTATGCATGAATATCTTCCATCATTGTTCCACAGTAGGCCTACATAAAAACAGAATTAATTATAGTTTAATTACCATATCCGACATGTAGGCCTACAATAGCCTATTGTTTACCTTTCAGCCTTTTTGTGTTATATGTTGACAACCACCTGTAATCTCAAACACGGTTCTTTACTTTAGAATACTCATAACTGCAGAATATCCCTTTGTATTAGAATTTTATTGTCAGTGACAACTGTTTAATCTGCTGTATATGCTGAGCCAGGGGCGGATCCAGGATTATTTGAAGGGGGGGATCCGCGGATGCGAAGCCGACCCTTTTCCTCCCCCCCCCCTCCCCCCTTGGCGTGGGGTTCGAAAATTTTTGGTATTTTAGAGGGTGAACAATGCCATTTGGTGCGGTGTAGAACTATGATTCAGCTAGTCAAAATTCTAATTTCAAGAGGGGACCAGAAATTGAAAGGGGGAGGGGTGGTCAGGACCCCCTTGACCCCCCCCCCTTTAAATCCGCCGCTGTGAGCCCCGTATAGGACCCAGCAGAGATATCTTTAAATTAAGCCCTCTGTGGTAACAAATTAAAGAATGCCTCCTGTAACAGAGATACTAGTTAGTAGTTGAAAATGGTATTCCTTACGAACAATCTGACGCTTAAAATAAAAAGAAAGGTCCAGTTAAAATGTGTGTAGCTCATTTCCCCATAGATACATGGTCCCATGAAAATATTGAAAACAATAATCTGGTCAGTTCAATTTTAATAAAGACAATATAGGCCCAAACATCAATTCGTTTCTTTCATAGGTTTCAACATTTGCCAAAGAATACATGTTCTTCACCAAGTTAGTCGTGAAAGAAATAAGAAAAAATTCCAAAAAAATATATATACACAATCTGTATTTTTCATCAAAGACACTTTTGACTACTTATAATTTTAACTGGCGTCCACAGGTTGTCCCTTACAATCCAAAACGAGGTCCATGGTTGGAGGGGTTTGAACTCTCGTTACTCAGATCACACAGTAAATTTGTACAAAGACCAAACAAGCCTTCAGCTGAAATTCCAACAATGTATAGAAATAATATCAACTTTTCCACAAATTGGTTAGGCAAATTCACCCAACAAAATACACTCAATGGTCTAACGATAGCAAAAATAGCACGATAAATAAACGAGAATCTGCGAGGTTTAACGAGACCTCAGTGTTTTGGTCCGCATGGTGAACGTAAACAATCACCTGTCGACGGAGTCCACCATATTTTCAGCTAGACAACTGTTACATTACGGGGAATTACAACGCTAAAATGTCGTTAGTGAACGTGACTGATGGAACTGTGGCTTTACCCACAAACTATTCTGTAGACAAAAGCATAAAACACAGACGTGAGTAGAAAATAATTTGATTTTTTCAACTGTATACAGATTTTGTCCTGTTTGAACTTTGTCTTTGACGTTGAGACACAGTGTGTTGGATGAGTTGACGTGAAGTTGAGTGGGAAGTAATATTTACCTTGGTTGGATTAATTAACTTGAAGTTGAATGGGAAGTAGTATTTACCTGAACCTTAAAGGTCCTGCTCTGGTATTTACCTATGTACTAGCACGAAAATCCATGCGTTAGCACTCCTATTGACGATTCTGATATGTACGGTACTGGCTGGCAATGCACAGCCAGTGCATATCAGAATCGTCAATAGGAGTGCTAACGCATGAATTTTCGTGCTACAGGACCTATGTACCTGCTAAAAAAAGCAGAGTAAAGCCTTTAAAAAATGGAACTTGGAAGGGTTAAATGAAGTACATGTACACATCTGCACGAAGATTGTCTTCGACTTGAAATTTGAATTAAAATGTGGCTGTCAGTGTCAACATTGTCAAACTGTATGTTTATAATGGTTCGAATTGCTATTGGAGAGAGGGTATTATTCTAATATGTCTTTTTACTGTGTCATCGTTTCTCTTAGTGCTCATCCCTTAAGATGGACATGGTCAAGTTGAAATCCTATGTCAATACATGTTAAAACACAAAACATTTTTCCTTCAAAATAATCTGCCTCATGTGTACTGTTTCAGTGCCAGCCCTTCAAGCAACACCAGTATTAGACTATGATTTTCTTAGAAGACTTTGCAAGGATCCTGGATTACAAAACAGGTATGTAAACTATAATTTGGGGGGGGGGGATCTTAAAGAACTAGGTTTTTTGTTTGTTATCTTTTTGCTTAATTTATTAATTCTTTTAGTTTTGCTTTTCTTGTCCAAGACTTAGTTTTTCAGTCTCTTTAACAAAAAGATGAGGTTAATTACAAAAAAAGTTGTAAATGCTTTGAAAATACAGTCTAACCATTTCTTACTAACAGACACAACCCAGAAACCACAGAAGAGGCACATGAGCATTTCATGAAGAATTACCATAAGATGTTTATTGATCCACATGCCCATCTCAAGTCAAAGCCTCCCGGAGAATTGAATACAGGGTAAGAAAAAACTGTATTAATTGATGGCAGTAGTGTGGTTAAGGCTAAACCAGTTTTACTTTTTTCTAATTAGTGTGGAATTAGAAAAATATATGCATTTTATGACAAAAAGGAAATTAATTGTAATGATTTAGGTATGTCTTCAACCTCGCGGTTGCATTATTATTATTATTATTCACTCTTTTTTATTTGATAAAATGTTTCTCAATATGGCTCCGTAAATTTATCGAATTTCAGAGAAAGGAAGAAAAAAGCCTCACATCCAAGCTTGATATCTCATGCAACTGGTAAGGGCTTATTATTCTTAATGTTATGCAACAAACAACTTTACAATTTGCATCGCAAACTCTTCTTCTGAAAGGCACAGAGGCCAATAAGTGATGCAAGAAAAAGGTTAGCTTCCACTTGTAAGCATTTCAAGCACTGTATTCAAAATAAAACTGTTACCACCACTGAACATCATCAACTTTTGTGAGTGATCTCCAAATAAGNCCCATGAAAATATTGAAAACAATAATCTGGTCAGTTCAATTTTAATAAAGACAATATAGGCCCAAACATCAATTCGTTTCTTTCATAGGTTTCAACATTTGCCAAAGAATACATGTTCTTCACCAAGTTAGTCGTGAAAGAAATAAGAAAAAATTCCAAAAAAATATATATACACAATCTGTATTTTTCATCAAAGACACTTTTGACTACTTATAATTTTAACTGGCGTCCACAGGTTGTCCCTTACAATCCAAAACGAGGTCCATGGTTGGAGGGGTTTGAACTCTCGTTACTCAGATCACACAGTAAATTTGTACAAAGACCAAACAAGCCTTCAGCTGAAATTCCAACAATGTATAGAAATAATATCAACTTTTCCACAAATTGGTTAGGCAAATTCACCCAACAAAATACACTCAATGGTCTAACGATAGCAAAAATAGCACGATAAATAAACGAGAATCTGCGAGGTTTAACGAGACCTCAGTGTTTTGGTCCGCATGGTGAACGTAAACAATCACCTGTCGACGGAGTCCACCATATTTTCAGCTAGACAACTGTTACGTTACGGGGAATTACAACGCTAAAATGTCGTTAGTGAACGTGACTGATGGAACTGTGGCTTTACCCACAAACTATTCTGTAGACAAAAGCATAAAACACAGACGTGAGTAGAAAATAATTTGATTTTTTCAACTGTATACAGATTTTGTCCTGTTTGAACTTTGTCTTTGACGTTGAGACACAGTGTGTTGGATGAGTTGACGTGAAGTTGAGTGGGAAGTAATATTTACCTTGGTTGGATTAATTAACTTGAAGTTGAATGGGAAGTAGTATTTACCTGAACCTTAAAGGTCCTGCTCTGGTATTTACCTATGTACTAGCACGAAAATCCATGCGTTAGCACTCCTATTGACGATTCTGATATGTACGGTACTGGCTGGCAATGCACAGCCAGTACATATCAGAATCGTCAATAGGAGTGCTAACGCATGAATTTTCGTGCTACAGGACCTATGTACCTGCTAAAAAAAGCAGAGTAAAGCCTTTAAAAAATGGAACTTGGAAGGGTTAAATGAAGTACATGTACACATCTGCACGAAGATTGTCTTCGACTTGAAATTTGAATTAAAATGTGGCTGTCAGTGTCAACATTGTCAAACTGTATGTTTATAATGGTTCGAATTGCTATTGGAGAGAGGGTATTATTCTAATATGTCTTTTTACTGTGTCATCGTTTCTCTTAGTGCTCATCCCTTAAGATGGACATGGTCAAGTTGAAATCCTATGTCAATACATGTTAAAACACAAAACATTTTTCCTTCAAAATAATCTGCCTCATGTGTACTGTTTCAGTGCCAGCCCTTCAAGCAACACCAGTATTAGACTATGATTTTCTTAGAAGACTTTGCAAGGATCCTGGATTACAAAACAGGTATGTAAACTATAATTTGGGGGGGGGGGATCTTAAAGAACTAGGTTTTTTGTTTGTTATCTTTTTGCTTAATTTATTAATTCTTTTAGTTTTGCTTTTCTTGTCCAAGACTTAGTTTTTCAGTCTCTTTAACAAAAAGATGAGGTTAATTACAAAAAAAGTTGTAAATGCTTTGAAAATACAGTCTAACCATTTCTTACTAACAGACACAACCCAGAAACCACAGAAGAGGCACATGAGCATTTCATGAAGAATTACCATAAGATGTTTATTGATCCACATGCCCATCTCAAGTCAAAGCCTCCTGGAGAATTGAATACAGGGTAAGAAAAAACAATTGGGATACATTTAAAAAATCTGTGTTAATTGATGGCAGTGGTGTGGTTAAGACTAATAAAACCAGTTTTACTTTTTTTTTTTGGTGTGGAATGGGAAAAATATACGCATGTTACGACAAAAAGTAAATTTATTTTAATGATTTAGGTATGTCTTCATTCTCGTGATTGCGTTATTATTATTATTATTGTTATTATTATTATTCACTCGTTTTTATTTGATAAAATGTTTCTCAATATTGCTCTGTAAATGTATTGAATTTCAGAGAAAGGAAGAAAAAAGCCTCACATCCAAGCTTGATATCACATGCAACTGGTAAGGGCTTATTATTCTTAATGCTATGCAACAAACAACTTTACAATTTGCATGACAAACTGTTCTCATTCTAAAAGGCACATAGGCCAATTATTGATGCAAATTACTTGGTTAACTTCATCTTGCAAGCATTTTTAAGCACTGTATCCAACATAAAACTGTTACCACCTCTGAACATCATCAACTTTTGTGAGTGATCTCAAAAAAAAAAAATATATATATATATATATATATATATATATATATATATATATATATATATATATATATATATAATTGCAATTAATAAATAAATAAACAAAAGACATGCAATAACCCCGACTAATTAATTGCAATTGTGTACAAATGCTCCGGACTGTTGAGCACTCTGTTCCACGCTCACGCTTGTTATATATATATATATATATATATATATATATATATATATATATATATATATATATATATATATATATATATATATATATATATCTTTTGCATCCAAAAAAGCTCTCATGTTTTCAGATGACCAAAACTCTGTATAAAATAATGTTTTTATTCACAAAATATTATTGCTTCATTCTGATATGGAAATGTTGCCTCCTTTGCATTTATATTTTACACATTAAGCCTTCTAACTTTTTCATAATTTAAGCTTATCGAATACAGGACTCCCTTTATTAAGTTACCAATCAATACCCATTTTATTTGCTAAATATAGACCTAGTTCTTAACAAACTCACTCATATAGCACATAAACAAATTTCCATGGCCAATAATTTTTATGCTTAACTTTTCTAGGGGGTTACACAGGCAATGTGCCAGCAATGAAGGATTTTCCTCAAAAATCATATCCCATAGATACCATCACTCACAATGTTGGAGACTACCTTCCATTTCTACATAAAGAAAGGAAAATATCAGATCCAAAACATGTCAGAAAACAGGGTATCAAAACGCTAAGGAGACTGACCAGAAAGTAGTAAGTTGAACTCTCGGTACTAGCCTGGCCTTCCAGTGTTGTGTGTTATTTATTTATTTATTTATTTATTTATTTTTTTATTATAGGAACAATTTTCATTGAGAAGAAAAATATTAGGAAAGGGAAAATACTGTAGAATGGCCTTCAAATTGAATGTTATTAGTTGATCTTTACTTTAGCTTCCATGCATATCAATATAACAGCATGACCTTTTTGGAATGTGAGAGAAACATCAACTTAGAGTCGTAGCTAGTATAAAAAACTACAACAAACCTCAATTTTGGACTGATGTTTAGTCTGCTAGTATAGAAGACAATTAAAAACTGCAATAAGCACATGTGTTGTATAAAGGTTTGATGCAGTAAATTTGTAGAGATTTCTCCTCCTTTTTTTTTTTTTTTCTTTTTTTTTTTTGCAATGCCCCTATTACAGGAAGGTTGTGCATGTGTCAGAAAAACAGTGTAGATAAAGAACTGGACATTGACATATGTTTTTCTTAATCTGTGAAAAACACATCAGTAAATAGACATTTTCTGTACTATAATTGAATACTAAACTGTCATATTGATGTTTGTCTTGAGAGAATGTGATAAATTGTGGAGTGATGCAATATTACAAAAGTAACTTTTTCTTTGTATTTCTTTAATATCGGTATCTTTAATTGCATGTGTTCACATATAAATAATGATATCAGCCAGTGCTATTTTTCTTTATCTTTTCAATATTTCAGCCCCTTTGAGAGGACAACAGATGAAAATAAAGTCATATTTGATATACTGAAGAAGATGCCTGTTATAACAAGACAAGTGCCCTCAGAACGTGTGCTCAAGGAATTAGCTGTTGTAGTTACCATAGATATCTGGAAAGAGCCAGAATTCACAGGTGGGCATAGGAGGCCTCTTGGGAGAAAGACAACTCTTCAAACTCAAAGTGAATTATAGACAAACGTAAATAGAAAAGTACACAATCTGTGATTTTAGATCTGGCCACATGCCAAATGCCAATATAAACTTGGGACCAGGCCAACAAAATTTTATGAATAAGTTATTGGTCACTGTTTCTGATTTGGGACACCAGATTCTTAGACAGCAGACCTTCATGGACCCTAGAGGCCAATAGCTTTTTAAGTGTTTGGCATAGACTGAATATGTAAAATATTTTTCAATTCTTTGCATACCGGGTAATTTATGGTTGATTTAGCTAACATTTTAATTTTTTATTTGTATCAAAATATCCCCCAAATTATTGCAAAAAGGATTCCACACCAAAGTGTGTCCAGCCTGTTTCACTTTAGATTTGAAAAGAGAGAGAAAAAAGTAATTGTTAAGTTTATTTTTTAGTTATTAACTACTGTGGCCACAGAGAACGCACTATTAGAGTTACTTCTTGTCTATCAGTTAAGTCAGAAGAATGATTTTGAGATATTGTTTTTATTTTGACCAGATATGCACCAGTACAGTTATAGACAAGCACTTCATCTGCAATATAAAGTTAGAAATATATGATGCTTTATATTTTATCAGTTTTACCCCTCGTAGTGTAAATTTGTGGCTCAGTTATTTGAACTAAGAAAGAGTGACAAAAAATTTACATCAGAAAAATTTTACAAATGAGGCATGTTAACATTAAATAATCTTTTAAATGTTATATCTGTTATGTTAGATTTAAGTTTTCAATTACTTTAAGTAATCTTTTAAATGTTATATTTGTTATGTTAGATTTAAGTTTTCAGTTACTTTAAGTAATCTTTATAAACTTTTTTATCCAGTGTTTGGTAACACAGGGTTACATTTGATCCTGAAGGGTTCTGTGTCTCCACTGGCAATACCATATGTAAGGACGGAATCGAATGTGGCTGCTTTCAACAGAGTGCCCACACCAACACCATTTGAAGAGGATGTCGTAAGTATATACTTATGTCATGTTCAGGTTTGCAGGCAGGCATCTATGTGTGTGTGTGTGTGTGTGTGTGTGTGTGTGGGGGGGGGGGGGGGGAGGGGGGGGGAGGGGGGGGGTTGCTGCTCCATTTTGCTCATCTCAGGTCTGCTCTTTATCAATTCATTTTTTGCACTTGATCCTCTAAAATTAACATAATATCACTTTGATCTGTGAGAGAAAATTAAAATCCTGTTAAATCTTTTTTTTTCTCCATTTTTATGTTTCAGTATGCCTTGTTATTCAAATTTGTGTTGGTAAGAAAATTCTTTGTTGAAAATTTCAGCTGACAGTTGGAGAAGTATTTGGTACTTTAGTCAAAGTAGAGGGAAGAGAGCCGAACAGCAGGTGACTTTTTCACTTTCATTTGAAGTGGTGAAGTGGTCTGATTTTTTACAGTTTTTTTTTCTATTTTCTAATCTGTAACTCCGTGTATATGCACTTACTGTACATTTTAGTACTCACACACTGTAGCTCATTCTAGAAGAATTCATGGCCCATGTGCAAAACAAGTTTAACAATAATTCAGTTGACTTGCGTATAGTAAATTCAAAAACATTCCTATTTTCATAGGTGTTCACTTTTCTTAAAAAGATTTTGTCACCAATATTTTCAAAACTTTTTAACCAATGTATTATATTATCATCTCTTCCTCAGGCTTTTGACAGTTAAAACTCTTGAGCCAAACTGTGAGTTCCTTCGCATCACAACAACAGATTATAAAAGAGTTATAGAGCAGATTGAGAATCGTGACCAGACAGAGAAAACCAATGTTCTTTCATTCTGTTCATCCTATAAATACTGGCCACGTCAGCCTCTGTTAGCTTTGGCTAACTTAATAGAATGGACTTCATTCCAAGCAAACACAGGTAGAGAATATGTTCGGATATTTAATCATTTGAGTATGAAGAGGGTGGGTGGTTCAGGTAGAAAACAAATAATTTTATTAGTACTCTAATTCAGGGTAATTTTTATTGGCTGTCATCTGTAATTATAGCCTTATTTTTTTGGTAGATCTCATTTGAGCCAAATACATGTAAATACATATTCTAACTTAGCTGTATACTCAATATTGATTATAAAGGGAAAGGTGAATATAGCTTATATATATATATGTTCCACTTGATTTATATTTTTAACGTATATGTGGTAATTTGTATATCATGAATTGTATGGAAATAATTTGCCATGTGAAGTCTTATTTCTTGATTTGATATGTACAATGAATGATATGGATACAGTGACACAATAAAGGTTATCTGCATAAATCAATTATCGAAATAATCCAAACAAGCCTGGGCGGGATAACAACTGAAACCAATTTGTATCAGTTATAATGATCTTGATGTTATTTTGCAAAATATATTTGAGTTCAAATTGTTTCTTATCTTCTAGTGTTGGTGAGTGAAGGGTTTAATGCCCCCTTCATTGGGTTTATCAGATCTGGAGAGTGCCATGTGCTGCGCCAAGTGGACGTAAAACACACTTTACCCAATGGAAAACAGGTACAGAATAGTGGAAATCCTTTTTTAACACGTTTGTCATATAAAATGCAATAAAAAAATAAAGAATGAAGCCCAGCACTTAACAGACATATGTATGAAATACTAAATATTCTTTGAGATTAATTTTGATATTCTTAATGATATTCTGGAATTAGTTTTTTTTATCTTATGCCAGCTGAACATTGTTCTTCTTTTTTATTATTTTAAATGTAATTTCATGTATAAAGCATACTGATCACAACCTTAATAACAGTGACCTTGGAAATATTTAAAATCAACTTCATTATAATATTAAAGATTTTACCAACTTAGAAAGCAATATTTAATGACCAACTGAACATTGAGACGGTGTGAAAATAACAAGTTCTTTACTACTTTAATACCAGAATCCTGTTATTCTCTATTTTTAGGAGCAGAGAACCAAGCAAGTGGTGATGGGAAAGTTGACAGAGTCACAGTCATTTGGGGAAATCAGTGTGCTGCTGGATGAACCAATGACCTGCAGCATAGTCGCATCTACACATTTGGAAATGGGAATAATAGACCCAACAAAATTGAAAGGTACAGAATGAATAAAAAAAAAAGAAATAGTTGTCATATTTTTATCTTTAATGCTCGAATTATGTGTTGGTAGGTCTATTGAGAGTGTTTCTAACTCTGTAAAATTTGTTCCTGGTACTCGTGTTGAAATAAGTTTACTCACCTGAGAGGATTATTACGCGCCGTACAGTTCTTCTCATTTCCACGCTTTAAATTCAAATTTTGATAGCTGTAATTACTGTTTTGAGTCTTGTTGATAGTGTGGTAGATGAAACATACATTCCAAAGCTTTATAATGCTGACAAGACTTGTTTTTAAAATGATTTTGAGTTTTATCTTTTATCATTTTCTGTTTTTCAGAACTAGATGAAGTGACACTGCAGTTGCTTAAACAGTCAAATCAGAGAACATTTGGCAACTTAACACAAGAAGATATTCACGAGGAATACATGCAACAAGAACTGAAACGAGAGTGGAACGAATACAAGCACAGCATTGTAGTGGACGCCATCAACACCAGGGGAATCAGGCCTGGCTACGGGAAATGGGCAAAATAATGAACTTCTACCTTAGTCACGAAGCATTAAAACTTGTTTCTTTTTTTAATCTATTTATTTTCATTTTTTATTTTTACCCTACATCACATTACCCACTGTTAATCTGTGGCAAAAGCTTTGGTAACTATTGACCCTACCAAACTCCAGAGACTAAGGGTATGTTCAGAATAGATGTTAACGTACTAGTATGATCTATCTATCTCAGCAGGGATTCTCACTTAGATGCAGTCAGTGTAATCAGCTGATTTGTCTGGCATGTCCTTTCACAAAGCAACATGAACAACATCAAGTTTTCCCGACTTAATCCAAGTGCTTAAAGTCACGAAGCCAGGTTTTGGAAAATGGGCAATCTAACAAGGTTTAAGGGTGCATTCCCATAGATTTTAAATCAATCTATCCCCGTGGGGAGTCTCACTAGATTACTGTCAGATAATCCGGCTTAAATGTCCGTCCCGCCTACTACAAGCTGTAAGGGGGTAATTAACTTTTGTGCCGGCTCGGCTGACAGCTATTTAGCGTGAACCCCCAGGGAGTTAGGTCGATCTAGTTGGATCCATCTAATCTCTGGGAATGGGGTCAAAGATTAGCCATAAAATTAAGCATTATAAATTTTAAAATATTATTTAAGTGGTTAACCTGCATCATATATTACTTAATAAACACAAATCCTGGTAACAGTATTGAAATGGACTGATGAACAATGGATTTTGAACATTCAGTGATTGTTTTATCTTTTTGTAAGTACACTCTTGTACAGTATGTACAGTCATTCTGTATATTTATGAAATAGTAAAAGACTGATATATATTCCTGGTTCATTTCATTTTTTATTTGAGGATAACTGGACTCCAATCAGATATATGTACTCTCAGAGAGAAATATGGGTCATATGTTTATCATTTGTAAACAATGACAAGATGAAAAGCTCATGCACTGTTATCATGTGTGTTTTGTGCTATGATCTGCAAAGAATATACGTAATTTTGCAGAGCACAGTTTAACACTACATACAATTTTGTTAAATGAGAATAAGAGGATTTATGACAAGTTATTATTAAAGGGGGCAAGGCATAGGTTGGTCATTTTAACAACGCATTATAAGGGCACATTCATATTCCGACATCATAACAGCTGGTTCCGTCTTACTCTCTACGGAATGTGCAATAATGGCGTGATCATCTTATTGACTTATTTGCTCCCTTATAAGCAGGTAACGGAAATTGTTTAACTATAAAAAATGCAATACGTTTTATTAGCCTTATTCTGGTCAACAATGTTTCTGGGGAAAATGCTGCAGGGTGCTTTAAATTTCCACCTTTGCCTGGATCTATTTTACATAAAGACTACATGCAGTTTTTATTTCTTGTTTAACAGATTGCAGTGTTAAAATTGACCTTAGATACGGTTGTGCTGCCTTATATTGTGTTAAGTTAATACATTAAATTGATCTCATTAAATAAGGAAAACATCTTGGTAGAGCTTTTCTTGAGATATTAGTGGTTCTGAAAAGGACCGTTTGTTTTTTCAATGAGAGGTTTGCTCCTAACCGCCGAATCCGTACAGAGTACGGCCTTGACGTTTCAAAGCATAGACGACATCCATGGCGGTGACCGTCTTCCTCTTGGCGTGCTCTGTGTAGGTGACGACGTGACGGATAACATTCTCAAGGAACACCTTCAGGACACCACGGGTCTCTTAATAGATGAGTCTAGAAACACGCTTGACACCACCACGGCGAGCCAAACGACGAATGGCTGGCTTGGTGATACCCTGGATGTTGTCATGCAAAACCTTGATTTTAGTCACATTTCGGAAAAATCGGAGACGGGTCGATCCTGGGTGATTTTGAGTGATTTTCATAAGGGCCGGCACTGTCAGTTTTCTTCAATTTTGGCCACATAGGGAAGAAAACATTTTTTCTTCATTAAAGTGATCGGTAGGTGTGTTTGGTCATTTGTAGTGACTGTAAAGTACCGGTAGAGTGGTTGTGTCAACATTAAGGAAGAGACAGAGCAAAACTTCTCTCCACCCCCCCCTCTCTCTAAATCCTGGTCCCAGGAGTGCTTTTAAGCAATCTTTAAAGCTGAAATTGGGGGCTTTAATGAAGCTATCCGGGCGCATTTCCACATTTTTTATGAATGACAGGTGTGGTAGATTGATTTTAGTCATATTTCGGAAAAATCGGAGACGGGTCGATCCTGGGTGATTTTGAGTGATTTTCATAGGTGCCGGCACTGTCAGTTTTCTTCAGTTTTGGCCAGATAGGGTTGAAAATTTTTTTCTTCATTATAATGATCGGTAGGCGTGTTTGGTCATTTGTAGTGAGTGTAAAGTACTGGAAGAGTGGTTGTGTCATTATTAAGGAAGAAATAGAGCAAAAACTCTCTCCACCCCCCCCTCTCCAAATCCTGTTCTCAGGAGTGCTTTTTGGCAATCTTTAAAGCTGAAATTGGGGGCTTTAATGAAGTGACCCGGGCACGTTTCCACATTTAATATTCAATTCAATTCAATTTCATTTTATTAAACCTTTAAGCCCTACGGCTCATCAGAATATAAAACAGTGACAATATAAAGTTATATCTAATCAACTGCCATGACTACAATAACTACTACTGATACAAACAATAATAATAATAATAATAATAATAAAAATAATAAAAATTGAAATTGAATTGAATTGAATATGAATGACAGGTGTGGTAGATTGATTTTAGTCACATTTTCGAAAAATCAGTGACGGGTCTATTCTCGGTGATTTTTGGGGGTTTTTAATAAGGGCCGACTCATTCATTGAAACAGCATGTTTTAATCGATATTAAAACAAGTTCATTTTTTTTTTTTTGGGGGGGGGGGTATACCTTTTAATCGATAAAATATCAGCATTCACCTTATTTCCCTGGTGTTGAGTTTTGTGGCAGTATCAAAGAAATATGAAATATGAAGGTATTCATGATAGAAGATTCATGTGCGATATTTTTGGAATAAAGCGGTGTGTTTTAACAACTAGTGGTGTCAAATCTACGTGTACATGTACATGTACATCAGGGGCGGATCCAGGATTTATTAACGGTGGAGGGGTCCGGTTTTGTTACGGGTTCACCCCCTTGGCGTTAGGTTAGGGGCACGCACTAGGGCCCTCTAAAATTTGGTGTTTTAGAGGGCGAATTGCACGCATTTAGAACTATGATTCAGCTAGACGTTTTTGGTACAATTTTTGTAAATCAGAAATCGAAGGGTAGGGTCCAGAATCCCCCACCCCACCTCCGACACCCCCTAAATCCGTCACTGTACATATATTTGACCGTGAACATTCGTGAATAGTTTCGACCACAATGGAGGATTTAGGGGGTGTCAGGGGAGTCCGGACCCTCCCCTTCGACTTCTGATTTACAAAAATCGTACCAAAAATGTCTAGCTGAATCATAGGTCTAAAACACCATTTTTTTTTTTTTTTTGGGGGGGGGGGGCTACTAGAGCGTGCCACTGTACATGTATTTGACCGTGAACATTCGTCAACAGTTTCAACCACAGTCCCTCACCTAAAATGAGTCATACCTGTCTTTAATTTGCATAACAATAACTTGCTCATTGTAGTGCGAGGTGTCTTCCCGAATGCTCACTAGGCAGTAGGACACAACTGGGTGAAGACGCAACAGCATGTGTGGTGCAGACGCAAGGGCGAGCTTTTATGAGGTGTAAAAGCAAGTGCATGCTTCGTAAGTATTACTTTTTCTTCAGTGATCTATGACATTAGATGGAAAAAGCGTAGAAGAATGCAAGAAAATTTACGTCAAGTATATATGTTACAACTCTTTGTTATACTTTGCTTGTCGTTTTTCCCGCACAAAAATGCAGTAGTATCGAAGTAGCAAAGAAGCATTAACGCAGTAGTGGTGTGGAGCATATTTGCAGTAGAAATGCAGTATAGCCTACTTCGATTCTACTTCAAAAATAACATAGGGTTGTACAGAGGAGGAGCATTAATGCAGTAGATTAGCAGCATGATAGAAGCATGTTTCAAATATGCTAATTAGCGCCCAATGCGAAGCAGATTTGAGGCATATCTGCAGTATTATTGCAGTAGTCTACTGCACTGGAGCATCTACTGCGTTTTCGTGCGGGTTGTTACTCAGTATGTAGGTCCTATATATTAGTTAGCATATTAGTACATGTAGATGGGCATATTACTTCAAAGATCACGGACTATTTTAGGTGCTAATACCGTTCTTGTCACAGTTCTGAATTTTTGACCCATCAACATGTACATAAATTAAATAGAGAGTTTATCAAAAATTCAAACATTTATTTTACGACAATCACGATAGTTTGATTTAAATTATCTTATGGTTACTTTTGTCTCTTTGAAGTTTCATTTCATTTCTTTAATTCAGTTTTTGTAGGTTTGTTTATTTTATCATACATGTATCCGTAAAAATGATTGTAAGCTATGTTGAAAAAACTGAAAATTAATAGAGAAATACAGTATGGTCCCCAAACGTGTGATGCATAGCGATTTTAGATATTACAAGATTAAATAGGAGGTAAAATAAATAAACGTCCCTTGTAATAACCTCCACAAATTAAACAAATATGTTCAATGTTTTTCTTTTTCAAAGCATGGTGTCTCAAATACCTTTATCATTAACTTAAGACCCCGGTGAAGTTGATTCCTGGTTCCTTATTCCTTATTCGGTTACTTATTCAAATGTGAAGTTGGTTACTTATTCCCGGTTCC